ATCAAATGAAAATTTCAATCCACATATTGTTCGAATATATATATACGTTATCCGAATTTAACAACCTATTCGCCTATTTCCATAAGATGTAATTCACGCTATATCCCATTTGGCTCCAATCAGATCTTTACATTAATCTGATCATTTTACTCCCAGTCATACTAAGTATGCCACATGTTTTATCAGTTATAACCTATGATTATACTACAAACTTTGATTCTATAACCAATCTCAATATTTTTTAATTATTTGTGTGGTAGAACTATTATTATTATAGTTTAACATGGTAGAGCCCGTTACTATTGGCGTTTCTTGTTTTTGTTTTTGTTTTTAGAAATGTTTATGCTACTAATTCAATAGTAATTAAAATTTCTGTTGTTTTTATTAAATTTATAAGGTAATTTTTAGATCTCATTTATATCTTTACTAATTTGACTTTACTTACTATTTGAAATATTATTTATGTAAAATTAACTAATAATTGCAGCTGCTTTCGTAATATAAAAAGTATCTTGATTATTAATCCACCTTATAAAAAATATGGTTAACATTTTAATAAAAATCTTGCAAATATAAATTTATACATAGAGAGAAAACTTAAGACCATACTTGTTAGACGGCTATGGGTAACGCTTATTCATATGGATCAGCATGGATGACCATGAAAAAGCAAACTAACATTTCTAATCTTATATCAGGGTCAGGCTTGTGTTGTATTCAAGTTTGTTTCGTGGTCACCCTTCGATACGTAACGAAGCTTATATCAGATGCGAATCTAGCTAGACGGAGGGTATTGGAACCCCTATTAAAACTGGCTGTCTCACTGACTCTGAATCGATTATTTTATATTTGATTGCAATTGTAAATACATAGTATCTCTAAGCTCATTTATTTATGAATAAACAGGTGTACTGCACAAACACACTTATTCGTGCAGTACATCTGTTTATTCATAAATAAATGAGATTTTCACAGAAAATATGAATGAATATCTTCTTTTTATACATCCAACAAATGATTTTTTCTTTTTTTTTTAAACATTGCCCTTACTTTGGGATAACATTATCCTGTGTTATAAGAACGTTATTACAAATATAAAATTCACGCGGACAAACACCCAGATGCGGAACAATTATCTGTGGGGCACACAAATAGTTGTCTCGTGTGGGAATCGAGCCCACGACCCCCGACGCCGAAGCCGATACCTTGGCGACTGCGCCACGGAGTCATCTCAATTAGAACTGACGACCGCATTATTCCTTGCCTGAAATAGAAGTTAAGGATCAAGCAAATAACATTTTTTTGTAGGCTGCATTAGAATTTTGAAACGTACAATTATGAAATATTGAACAAGGAAATAACTAATTTTGATATTCAACATTGCTTTGTAGCAGTCCTGTCAACGTGCAGCAATGAAGTGCATCAACATTAAAATTAAATGTTTATAATTTTATACATATAATTATGAGAAATGAGTGCCTGGCTGTTTCTTATTTCATATTATGTGACCATTGAGCGTTTTAGCAGTGGCGGAAATTTGTAGACTGAATGTTATTTCCAAGTTTATGTGTTCTCTAAATCAAACAAGAAACGTTATGGAGTTGAAGTTGACGTGACCGGACGTAGCAAATTAGACTAAACGTAAAATTTTTGGAGTCTATGTAAGCAGCAAAATGAAATGCTACGCTCCAAACTCTTTCAGTAATCGTTTAGTGTTATTCATACAATTTTTGTTCTAAAATAAATGCGGCAGTAATAACACAAGTAAATAATTTATTATCGTGTGCTGTAAGACATAATTATATTGGGGATTATACTGAATACCGTATTTATTCAAAACTTTGTAATAATTGTAGTCAAAATTGCGTGTAAGACAATCGTACGAATACAATTTAAATAAAAGTTATTTTTATCAAGCAACGCATGTTGGCTGATGTAAGATAATCTTTATTTCATGCTGTAGGTATAAATGGATTTCCCGCCGTAACTAATGACTTCCGGGAACTTATTTTGACATCGAAGCATTCACCCACATTGGATTCTAGAAAATTCAAGTTTTTTTTATTAATCTGTCCTGACTGCGTCAAAGGGCTTATTTTATAGTGGTCAATGCATAAAACACAGATAATAAACACTATAATTAGAATGATCTCGAAGTGACACGATTAGCAATTGATGTTATATAATTTATTTATCTCAATCGCTAAGACAGTTTCAGCCTTATTACTTGGAACTTGGACCGTGGTCTGAGGTCGTGGTTCAATTCCGCACAATGTGTTTCGATTTTGTTTATAAATTTTCTAACCACCATTGAAGCCATGTTTAATCGTTTGTTTTGGTGTTTGTAAACCTAATTTTGGTGCAAAACGGTCATCATTTGTTGTAGATGTCTATGGGCGGCGTTAATTACTTAGCAAAGAGTACTTTTATATATCTGAGTCACTCATCATCAGTTGTCCCGCCTGCACAACTCTTGTCAAATTTTCACAATGTGCATTTTAGTTTAAAACCAAAGTTGGTGTCGTATTGCTGAATCTTACTTCAATTCAAATAGCAATTATTAGATTTTTTTATTTTAGTTTCTAGAAATGTGAGGAACCATTTTCAACTGTAGCGTTTCTGAGTAAACGCAGCTCGAATTAAAATTGAACCGCTATTATATCTTGTAATATACAAGATACCGCGTTATATATAACTTTTAAATTAGTAGGTATCAACATGACTTCGGATTCGACAACGCCTTCGATTTTTGTAAATCAGCGAAAAACTTTTCCATTACAAAGTACCTATGTTAGAAGATTTTTGCTATTATTAACTATCCCACTGCCGATTTCATAAGAAACAGGCTAGAGCTATTCCATTAGTTTCAATGACAGAGTAATGACAAAAGGTTCTGAATAATTATTCGCTACTGCAAAAAACTAACATGACGTTAAATAATTTCAACCAAATACTACGAACACAATAACAATAGGATGGTGGCATTATTGTTTTCTCCAGTTTTCAGTTCAAACTTGAAATTTATAAGTAATTCTTACGATCTTAAGATTATTAATAAAATTCATTGTACACGGAAGGACCCTTGTTAATTGTAATTTATTCCAATTGATAGTAATAAGTTAATAAACTATAAACTCAAAAATGAACAGGGAGAATTTTGATTGCTTTAAATGTAATGAATACATTAGAATAAACAAAGTGGCTCTATGCTTTTGTTAAAACCTTGATTATACTTATAAGTACTTAATCAAAGTTTGAAACGCATAAGTTGGTAAAGTGAGCGGATGCGGACGCTCCACATACAGTTCCCCGATACATTTCCCAAAGCGCCTGATTGGTGACAGAGAAATAATCTACTCGCTTATGCGTATTAATTCATATTAACTATAAGTTATAAAGATAAAACCAGTCTTCAATAGGAAATCGACAGATTTAACTATTAATACCGCATTGAGTTACAAAATTCCTTCAAAATCTGATTAGCACGTGGCTATGCGTAAACAATATTATCGACGATGTATCCGACGGAGATATTTGTATTTTTGTATGCTTAATTTATTATATATATTTAGGATTTATTATATTTTACGTCTATTTTAATTGGTTTTATTGAAATAATAATTTATTCAAATGTTTAAACAAAGTTCCGGCTGATTTTTCAGTGTTAATCATAGCGATTTATTAAACCGAGCCATCTATCTTTTCAAAATAGAATGACACAAAGACGAGTAAACACGCATACTAAGCCTGTTTATCGTCATAATTGCTATCCTGATGTGATTTAGCCTAAAACAGTTGTTTTTTTTTTTTGGTACTTCTTTTCTAAGTAGGTTAAAAGTTCTTACGTAAGTTTGTAATTGCATTATATATCTACCTACGTTCTCTTTACGTTCATAGTAAAATACCTAAACATTTGACATCTACTTTTTACTTATTCCTGTCCTGCTCACTCATGCAGGGGATTATTGTTGGTGGAATGCGCGCGTCGGCTAGTCTCACTACACGGGGCGTTAAAGGCGAAATTGTACTTACACGGTTACATGATACGACCGTATTGCATAGAAAATATGGTTGGTTTTAGATTGCTCTCGTCACATAAAACGTCTCCCGAACAAATTTGACGGCGGTACGAGACTATCCATAGTGACTACCTACTTTGTAAGAGCACATTCATAAATCTTATTTGTTATCAATGATAAATTTAGAGTAATATAAGCCTTATGTCTTATATTAAATTTATGTGAATAATTCAAAATATTTATTTCATTTTCATTTTAGTTCATATAATGCCAAAAATAGATATAGTTTGGTAGCTAAAAATGAAAAGTCCTTGAGAACTAGTCTCGTCAGGAGTGCGTCTACGTCATCGAGGGGATTTTTGTAGGTATGTATACCGCTAGCTTTGGCCCGATTGGCCAACAAAGCCTTGTCGGCGGCCATTTTGTTCAATGTTGAGTCACCAAAAGGTGAAAAATATATATGAAGCGCACTCCCCACGAGACTATACAACGGTATTGAGCATTTCCCTCGTGAACACAAAATTTGGGTTTCATGTTTCCCCAACCGTTGCGTGAACATCACACATTTTTCCCGAGATAAACTTCTCAAAATATATCGTTATCTGCCCTCAAAAGGATTTGACATTTTAGAGATTGCCGGGAAATTTATTGTTTTCAAAAAGTTACAAACGCCGAGACGGAAGTTTGTTTTCCACCTTAGTCGCCGCAGGCCATCGCTCGTAGGAGCACGCTCTTATTCGTTATGACTTCATGAAATAATTATAGTGTGTCTATTAAAGAGTGGACTCGTGTTTTATTTAAATAATAAGACAATCTGTGAAATATAAGTGAACTGAAGTGGTGTTACAGTGTGCTGTGTCAATGTTTACATTTATCTTGAGGATCTAGTGACAAACCTATATAATGTAGTCGTGTCCAGCACATGCGTGATATGAGGATCTAGTGTATAATTTTTGTTGGGTGGTTCATCAATTCGCAAAGATGACGGAAACATTGTCAGCTAAGGTAAAAACCGAGCGGCCTGATGAGGCGGAGATTAGAGAGCTGGCCGCAAAGATGGTGGAGGCGAATAAGGCGAAGGCCTTAGCTGCTTCTGCAGCAGCTGCTCGACCTCCCCCGGGAAGCCTTATGGGCGGGGGACCACCGGGAGCTGGCGGGCAAATGGGCATTCTCAACTTTTTAACCCGTAAACCCGGAGCTACTGCCGAGCAGCAGCGACCACCACCTGAAGAGAAAAAGACACCGGCGCCGGACGAAGCCAGTTGGAAAGGTCACTTCGGGTGGGACATGCTGGGTAAATGCCATATTCCTTATATTTACCGAATCGGCGAAAAGTATGTTGCCGTGCGCATGGTTGAGATAAGACTGCTCAACAAGTACCTGAACTATCTGCATGCAGATATCTACTCATGCACATGTATTAGGAGTTACTACATCACAGAAATAGAAGCGCGGCTTCTCAATGAGATCAACAACAGACATTGTGATGGTCAGTTCGGCCGTGAACCCTTCACGCAGAAGGATCTGGTGGTCCGGCTTTCAGATGCTTACGAGTTTTACAATTTCCTGGATGTATGCTACAACAAATTGCTACGTGGTACAACAAACAATAATGACAAGTGTGGTTTCATTCGGATAAACAAAGAATCAGTTGTTCCATATACTGTTCGTGACAATCAAAAGTTTGTCCCCCTGTTCTACTTTGAAGGTGAGACGGACAACTTGAAGTTAAAAGCAGACCAGTTGAAAGGGTGGGACCTGTCTTACTTGAAGTTCTGCTGTAAAGTGCAAGGAATACGCAATGAACTGTTTGCTAGCGAGACCTGCTCGGTGATAAGCTTAACGGACATAAAGAGTTATTTCCCACCGGGGACCGAGTTTGAGGAGTACTGGCCCAACAAAGTAGTCGAGTCACAGCTACTAATATCTGCCAAAGGTAAGATTAAGACAATATTAAAATGTTTATCTAAGAAATTAATAATATTTCAGTTGTAATCTACACCTCCCATTGACATGTATAATAAATTTGCACTTATAAATATTATAAAATACATAGCAAAGGAGTGAGAACTTTGGATAAGATTATAATAATTTCAAAATAAGAATATATTGTTACACATACTATTACACTTAATTCATTAATATGATGATAAGATGTATACAATAATTACCCTAAAAATGTGTTTACACGCTATAAACTATAAGTACAAATAAGAAGTAGATTCAGTCAAAATTTTTTTTATTTAACAAAGACTTATTTTAAGCTGTTATTGAATGTCAAAAACTGCCAAATGAATTTTAATAACTCGATACCCTTAATTAATAGACATAAATTTGAACTGTGGTATAGCGCCTCGCAGCAGTTTTTGTCAGTGCACAAATTGGCAGGCTTGTCCGGGGGAACCCAACACATTACAAAAGGCTAGCGTGAAGTGGAATTTATAGGGTGGCTACACATCTCCAACCCCTTGTGTGTTTCAGTTGTCCTTAGGTGGTGGTAAACAAAAAGTTTAACATCATGGGAACCTCTTTGCTTACCACCCTTTCACATACAAAATGTTATACAGGAACATCATAAGAGTTTTCCGAATTCCTACCAAACAAAGTCAATGTTTAGTAATTTCTTTAAAGTAGTATCTCTGTAAAAGTAAACTTGTAATGATAAAATATGTAAGGAGTTGAAATACGTATATTGCAGTCAGTCTATTTTATTTAATGGATTACCCAATGCAAGTTACAGTCGCTACAGTTTAATTTATACAGGCTTGAAATATATTTTGTAATTTCTTATTAATACATTGGGAAGGTTTAAAATAAAAGGACGAAATTAAACAAGAAAAAGTAAAAGATTATTCAAATAGACACTTGCATGTTCTTATGAATCATTACATGTACAAAGATAGAAAAAAATATCATCATAGATAATACTAACACAATTATAATAATGTCAATTAATTTCACATTATGTTACTGCTAGTACACAAATTTGATTACTTTTTTAAACAATTTGGTTCAAAACCAGATTTTTGGTAACAAGTTCTCTTACTCTTGATCAACTATAATCACTTGCAGGAGTTATTTTTTTTCAATTCTGTATTTTCAACACTATTTAAGTAATTTGCATATTTATATAACCCAATATGTGTTAGTTATTCAGGCTTTTTTTACCAAGTTTTGTATTTAATATAAGATAAAAAAATTAACCCTGGTTTAAATAACCATATAAACCTTGTCAAATGTTTGTGCTATTTTGTGATTTTTTAAATGTTACCCTATTGCGTATACTACTTCAAAATATGGAGTCTTTTAATTGTTTATTATTTCTCTCATGTACTTTTTTGTGGAGTAAGGCATAGGGTAAATACTTTATGTGCTTGATCCTCTTTGGATGTTGAGTTTATTCCGGAATCTGAAAGTTCCGAACTGATTAAAACTAAAAGTTTATAGGATTCCGTACCCAAAGGGTAAAACGGGACCCTATTACTAAGACTCCGCTGTCTGTCTGTCCCACCGCAATGATTTTATTTATTGACGCGAATGTTGAATGCTAAACCAATTTCAGCTTTGTGGTTCATTGGGTGAAGGAAATAAGAAAAAGATGATTGATCGGCGTAGTTACTAAGCTATTGGCCACGGCGCCACGGGTAGTGGATTCGATTCTCAGACGCATGCGGCTGGTCATAAAAACCTAGCATAATTAACGATATGATTCACATTTTAAAATAAATTTTCATTTTTAGCGCTAGTCCCCGGCACTCGAGATGAAACTTTAAATGTTCAGTTTCGTAGATAAATTATAAAAACTTTCGGCGGTGCTGGATTTGAACCTGCGTCTTCTGGATAACTGAACTATTGCCGAACACGCCTCAAGTGCGGTGGAGGTACAGTTTCATTGCAAATATGACAATGTAAACTGGATACATGCATAAATTTTGGTTATAATGTATAACCTACTGGGTAAATAACCTCGCCTAGGCTTAAGAAACTGTATCATGATTCATGATGAATATAGCTGATCATGTGAGACAATCGACAAGAGGTTAAAATTTCCAGTGCCATATTGAATATATATCATATTAGAATAAATAATTTTTCATTTCAGAATAGTGACTGTAAACATATAATTTAGTTTCGTGAATTTGTTAGAATGTAAAAGTCGAGACGTGGCGTGGGACATCCGTTTGTAACAAATTCCCTATGGCTGTATACAATGTATCAAACAACAGACAATAAAATAATTAACGTTTGAGAACACCTAAATCAAAAATAAAGAAGCATCTTGTACACCAGTACTACAGGAGTATTGGCCACCAGATGACATTGTGAATTTTAACTGCTGACTTATCACGTGCTCAGCGGTGAAGGAAATCATCGTCAGGAAACCCGCATATTTTCGAATTAATAATAAATAAAATATTTCAAAGACAGCTCTAATACCCTCTGTGCTTAGGAGGCCTTTGCCTGTTGCCTATGACTGTTTAGCTGATGTCTGCGAATTCGTCTGCGTTGCTATTGTATAATACAATAGTATTTTATTCAGCACAGCAAGAAAACATATCATCTGAACACGTAGTGACTAAAAATTGTCGTCCTTTAACACAATAAGAACTTTACATTAAATCTAGTAAGGGCCAAGGCTCTAGACACATTAACCTAGGGTGAATTAATTGACGTATATCCAGGGGGTTTTCTGTGATGCACCCACAAGGCAGACGTCTATCATTTTATTTATATTGAAAGAAGATATTGCTTTACACAATATAAATTTAACTTCTGTGAACGCAGCATATGTCGTGATGTATAAAATGTTAATCTTTTCGGGTTTACGTCTCATTAGCCAATCGTGCATATAATGTAATGACAAGGAGTCTCGTTTCAAATGCATAATTAGCATAACTCAGGAAAGGCTTAAAATAAACTTATTTGACCATTCTGAATATGGAGCAATTGAACGATGATTGTTTTGGAGGGTGTGCCGCAAAAATCTGTATTAAGCGCCGCTGGATAAAGAGAAAACAAACACTACATTATAAGTAACATCGAAAATCCATTGTGTCCCTTGAATAAGTTACATCGTTTCGAGGTAAAGGCTTGCCTTTCTTCTAATCCACGCTTTAAAGTTCAGGTGCAAAACTTTGTTGGCAAGTAAACGTAAATTAATTGAATGCCATACGTTAATAAACAGTTTGTTAAAACGGTTAACCGGCTATTGCTTAACCTCACCAGACTGCGGAAATGATATCCTCAAAGATACTTCGTTTCTGAAGTGCCACAGACTTTTCTATAGAAATCTTTATCTTCTGCAAACGACATTGTCCCCCCTCGTAATCTTAAGATAGTATGGTCGACTCTATAGTCGTTTTGGCCCTTATATAGCTCCAAGAAAGTTTCATGAGGCGCATTACGGGCTATAGTCGGTTTGACTTTTTAAACCATTTTCAACCGACTTCAAAAAGGAGGTTCTCAATTCTGCTGTTTTTTTGTTTGTTACCTCAAAACTCCGTCATTTATGGAAAATTATTTTTGCGCTAGGTTCGGGTTTTTCTCCCATGTCCTCCTATATTATATTTATTGTTATTGGACTTTGGCGATGCAGCAAGGAAGAACTGTGGGATCGGGGATCCTGAAACACCTATTGGTCACCAGATCAATTTCGTTGACCATTTTTCTTTAACATGCAGATAAATCACCTATCATTATCTTTAAATGACTATATAAATAATGACCTTTCAATTAATGATTATTTAAATGATGACATGCTCTGGTAATGAATTGACCAGGCTCTTTCAACCAGAGTTTTTATATTGTATTTGTAATATATTCATGTCAAACTGTGTATGTCAAAGAATGAAAAAAAAAAAGGTCGCCGAGTTTCTTTCGCCGGTTCATCTACAGTGGCTTTCTTATCCGAACCGGTGGTAGTATTTTGACTATCAATAAGCGAGTGTAATGGTGCTATGTTAAATAAAGATTAAGGTTGTTTGAAATTGAATTTTTCAAAAGTCGTGTTGGGTCGTTTCCAACAACGGGGTAGCCATTTGCTATATGTTTTGTGTTCATTTGAAATATCTACCTTACATAATATGTTGTTTAAAAGTGCACCTGAATCCTCTAGCGCCAACATTTGAGTTAAACCGGGGGGGACCTTGAATCGCGAGTTAAAATCAACACTATATATATATATTTCAAGCGATGCAGCTCCGAATAATATGTTTATTTATTCACGAAATGCATTCGGTGCCATCGATGTATCCAAAAGTATCATATATAGAAGTTTTGTACGATGAAAGCTTTCGGAGTTGTTATTTGATATCCATTATGTATACTATACTAAATAGTGGCCGACGAGTGGTCGAAATTCGACCAAAATGAATTTTAAATTATAAGTTTGAACAATATTATTCTATTCTCCAATGCACATTAAACAGAGTATATGCGTGTGTGTGTCAAATACATGGTATAGTGTGTTGTTTTTTATATATTGTTTAAATGTATTTTTATATGCATGATAAAAAATAGGATTCTGTGCACTCCTTCTCTATATAAACTACTATCTGATTCGGCAAACGTTGTTTTGCCATATAAATTATTTCTAGAGGAATCGGAACGCACGCATAAAGTGGTTGACAGGTACAGTTTGTATGGGAAAATAAAATTGTCGCTATTTCGATTTTCCATGCAATTCTTCCATAATTTCTCATCGTTTAAACCTTCCCTGGACTGCCACAAATATTTCAAAACTAGCCAAATCGGTCCAGCCATTTTTATCATATAAGTGTGCGAAATATCATTCTCCTCCGTCCGTGCAATTTTCGTAAAAAGTGGTACAAAGTTTTTGCTTCACGTATTAATATATAGATAAATGGAGAGCCGATTTTTTTGTTCGGTTATACTGCGAAAACTACTAAACCGATCACAATAATACTTATACCATAAGATGTAGCGTGTTTAATAGAAAGTTTTAGTACCTATATGATATGCTGGTGATTACTTATCCGAAACCTATATTTATGGATTTAAAGACGATTGTATGACCAGCGAAGCGGGCGGGGGACAGCTAGTTTGAAATATAAATATACTAAATAACGTAATCATAAGATTTTTTGCTCTCTGTCGTCGCCCTATACGATTCTATTTTCAAAAGCCAAGCTGCCGTCAATTTCCTTATTCATTTAACGGAGCCCGCCCGCCGGTCTCAGAGTGGCGGCGCGGCGAACCTTCGCCGGGGCCTTGACACGGTAAAAATAATAATTTGCATGACCGTCGCACAGATAACTTATTTTGCGTTGGTACGGATATTGCTGGTGACTGCGCGGCGCTGTTTACTCGTTCGTAAGCCTTCGACGCTATTGTTGTTTTTATTTTTTATTTTATCTATGATTCTATGATCTGGCCAGTGATTGACCGGTTCCCATTCAACATGTGGTCATCTAATTGTGTGGTGACTTGAAGCCTCTTCACTTTTGCTTCGTCTTTATTACACAATTTCCTAAGATTTCTTTTATACGATAATTAGTGATCCGTGCCTCAAAAGGTAAAAAAAAAAAAAAGAGCCCGTCCGTGTGTCACCACCGATTTTCTCAGATACTGAGGTCTGTAGTCCCTATTAGATGTATTAAAATCATTGCCCTGAGTGAACACGATAAAAATATATGAATATGGGCAAATTTAGTTTTTTCCGAAAACTTGTAAGTACCAAAATTGACAAAATTTTTCAACTTTTAATTTTTCTGAATTTTTTCTTTTTTTAAAATCAAAATTGACAATTCTAGGTCAACCGGAGTACGCTTATATAGTAGTTCCCGTTGACCTAGAATCACGAAATTTGGCAAAGAGCAACGTCTTACAGGACAAATAAAGAAAAAAAAAAGTTGAAACATAAAGGCTGTCCCCCATACATACATAGTCCACATACATACATAGTTTAATGGGCTCTCATACAATTTATAGATTTAGACTTTTAGAATTTATAGAGTTATAGATACGGAACCCTTCGTGCGCGAGTCCGACTCGCACTTGGCTGGTTTTTTTTTCCATAAATTTAAATATAAGAGACAGTTTCGCAAAATAAATCGCAGTAAGTGTTGGAGTCTTTATTCGAACACAGTTTTGGCTTTGAATTCGAATAGCAGGCCAGTAGGCCACTCGACCGTCGCCATTTTTTCCTCTTACTTATGAATTCCTTTTTTTTTAAATACACTTACAACGAAACTTTAAGTACGATTACATTATGACTAAAATCGCTTACAGTAAAACCTCTAAGTTATAATATACCTATGAGTACTACTTCAGCTAATTTCTTTATGATAAAGTTGCCTGTTGCCGATGTGGCGTTTGATGGGATCGATTCTGAGGATACAACGGAAATGTTTAACAGGAAGCGGGAGGGAGGCGCGTCATTCAATTTACTCCGCTGTACTTCCTCACTAAATAGAGCCTATTATACGGCGACTCTCGTAGGTCAAACTGCGCTTCGCATTTCGGCATATAACACGCGAGTCCACACGCTATTCGCTTTTCGCCGTATAATGTGCCAGTCTACATGTAACAGTTGGTGGCATTTAAACATGGAAGGAGGATGTTTACGTGCGACGATAGTTGCGGATAAACGGAAGTTGTGAGTGATGTCACTAGGTAATCACATCGTGTAAACCCAATTGTTCTACTTCGTACTATAAATTCACTCGCGTCTCTCCAATTGCGGATGATGCCCAAAAATTATAGTTGTGTTCGGTTATAAAGGTGAAATTATCCCGGAGCCTGAATTTCTGTATGTTGGTCTGTTTCTGTAAAGAAATTGCTACCATCCTCCATGATTACCGAAGCCTAGGATGGATAAACGCTTTGAGAAGTCAATTTGAAAAAATATTAGGTCGTGTTGCTTTCGTAAACATAGCATTCCTTACAGTTTATCGTAGAAAAATGTATCAATTAATGATTTTTTTACAGATATTATGATACAAATGTTATTCATTAAATATCAAAGATAGAATAAATTATTCACAAGTTGGCCTAGGCCTCCATACTTTGGCTCGTAGAAAACGAGTCTAGCATGTACTAGATGGCGCCAATGCTGCGCATTACCTATTTTAAAGCATTCCCTTCGCAACCACGAGACATGCTGCACCGACCGCCGCGCGCCGCGAGCCAAGAAATTTTGTATTATTAGGGAAAAAGATCTAATAAGAATAAAGTAGCGAGTTTATACCTAAAATAATTATAACCATCAAAATTTAAAATAACGAATACCAGTTGCATTACATTTTTAAACCGTTAAATGGTTTAAAAGTCGCACAAGCTTGTACTAGATGGCGCCAGTTCTGAAAAATCATCCTTTCTTGGATTGCAGAGATGGGTAATTCGAGTACAAGCGCGGATACAGGCCTTCAAAAAATGTACCTTTACTTATGGATTTAGGATGATGACAATTAAAGGAATAAAGTGAAAGTGCTTGTCTTTCAGCGCGTAAAATTGACGTAAAACTTGTAATTTCTATGAATCTGACTCATTCCTTTGCCAAGCGATTCGTAACGTTACCTATTGTATGCGTTAGTTAGCGGTTGTAATAAGGAAATATGGGAAGCTGACATAATTTTGTATTCTGAATTGCGTGTGGAATGACTTAAATTTTAATAGAAACCATCACTTATATTCATTCGTATTCAATATAAATATTAAAATCGCTAATTAGATTTCTGTGCTAAAGTAAGATAAAAAGTGGCAACGCATATACACGGGTGGCGGTTATCACTTAACATTATGTGAACCGCCAGCTTGTTTGCCATTTTCGTCCTATGCGAAAATTACTGGGAAACTACGGATTTCTTAAATTCAATTTTATCCACCTGACTACTCTCTCTTCCCATTCCTCGAATACTATATTCTGATCAATAAAATCTGCTGTTTATCTGAACCGAATAGAATGAAACTATAACTGTCGCTAAACCGGAAATCAGTGTTACGTCCGGAGTCGCTATAGCCAAATAATTTTCTTCCGAAAGTATTCTTTGAATTCAAGCGACTTGGTATAACCAAAAAGGCTAAGAAAGAATATTTCGCTATAACCAAAAAGTCGTTACAACAGAAGACGTCATGAATGAAATATGATACTCATATGCTTTTAATTATCCTATCACAATCTTTTCTTATTTTTTTTCTATTTTTTTTTAAGAAACATTTCCCTTGCTATGAGATATAGATATATAGATAAGTTTTAAGGACGTGTCAATTGCATAAATTGCACTTGGAGGAACACCCAGATGCGAAAAAGTTATCTATGGCTCACACAAATAGTGGTCTCGTGTTGTGATCGAACCCTCGACTCCGGTCGAAGCTAATATCTTGGCGCCGCGGAGTCATCACGTTCGTTGTAGTAGGTCGAAGCTCGTATTTCAGAATCGAACTAGTGATCTCTTTTTCATTTCATCACCGTTCACACCAACGGGTCTTAGCGGAACAGTTAGTGTATGCCCTAGATTCGAATCCACGACTCTCACTAACGATCGCTGGCTCGAACGATAGTTATATTTTTTATCACATTGTACCTCTATATAGTAATAATGTTTCTCAATCTATATGCAATGTCTGTTGTCTTAATGTTTCGTGTACAGTATATAAATGCAATGAAATTGTAAACATCTTCTTTTATTTGTAAACCGTGCACCACGCGGAAACTCGCAAAACAGTGAAATAAAATAAACAGCATACCAGTTAGGTAATTCGCGGTATAACTAAAACAGACAAGAGAATAGGAACAAATTTTCTATATAGGTCTCTTTCTATTAGTACCTTGCTTCACTAGTCAATAGCGACAATATTTATATTTATATAGTTCATTATTGAATTTAGCGATTTAATGCATTCCAATATGTGAAATTGGATTAAATTTCGACCCGTTGTTTCTTATAAAAGTCATCACACGAGGTCATATACTATTTATCATCAACCATCGTTACTGGCTGGGATATAGAACCTTTCTTTCTTAAACCCAATTATAATAATTTTTGCACCCTATCACTACGGGAGCTAAATTTGCTTGGATAAAATGTACGGTACTCTATCCATATTCGTGTGGAATGATTAATAGGATAATGGTGACGTTGGGAATCATTTGCTCATACCTTCGGGCAAATACCTTCGTATAGTGCACCCCAAAATATTATTTACTAACCACGGACCGTATCCTATTACCGTACTATACCACGACGCTATGATATCAAACCAAAGACCCCCGCTCATTTGAAAAATTGTAGGAGTTATCTTGTTTGCCACCTTCCACATAAAAAAAGTCATGAACGGTTTGAAACGTGCGCAACCAACCATTAGGGCATCATGTTTGCGAACCAAATGTTTCTGACCCCCGGTCTCTGCTCAGGCTCGGCGTCTGGCGGCGGCCAGTGGACGAGGGCGCCGCCCGCGCCGCCGCCCGCCGCCGCCGCCGCGCTCTCCGCGGGCGTGGGCGTGGGCGGGGGGGCGCGGGCGCGCGCGGCCGCCGGCCCGCCGCCGCGCGCCACTCGCCCGCCGCGGCCGCGCTGCAGATGCCGCACGCGGGCATCTCGGCGGCGGCGGTGCAGGCGCTCGCCAACGGCTGGACCCTGCCCGGCACGCTCACGCCCACGCAGACGCAGCAGGTGCTGCGGCTCGCGCAGGTAAGGCGGGGCAACGCATTCGTGAGCCCTCGTGGGCGGCGGTGATCACTCACCATCGGGCTAGCATCCCGCTGCGAAAAAAAAGAAAGGTGACGCCCCCGGCTGCCTGACTAGTCTGCTTGTCAAACGGTCGAGCGGATCACCCGATGGTGAGCAATAGCCGCCGCCCATGGACTCTTCTATTTTCTTTTTCTTTTAAAAACATTGCCCTTACTCTAGGATAACATTATCCTGTGTGTTTTAAGGACTTTTTTACAAACAAATTTCACGCGGACAGACACCCAGATGCGAAACGACTATCTGTGGGTCACATGAATAGTTGTCCCGTGTGGGAATCGAACCCGCGACCCCCGACGCCGAAGCCGATAAGTCCGCCATTGCGGCACGGAGTCATCAAGACACTTTTGCGTTGCCAGCCTTTAAGATAGGAGTAGGATCACTTCTTGAAGGTCCCTAAGTCGTATCGGTCCGGAAACACCGCTGGCGACAACTCATTCTACAAGGTAGCCGTGCGGGACAGAAAATTGCGCGAAAAACGCACAGCGGTGGACTGCCAACCGTCAAGGTGGTGTCGATGGTAATTGCCGCCTGGCTCCGACACACTAGGCTTGTTGCGCTGTCCTATAGGAAAGCTTAATGGGTTGAGGTGGATTGTTCCGCGGTTACTTGCTTTGGATGACAATCATTACTGAAGTACACGGGCTAATGCTATTTCGGTTATGAATGTAAAGGCGAGATTCGACCAGATGGAGGGTGCATGCAAGCCAGTGATCGATGAGGCAGACTGCTCTCACGATTACAGCGGTGTAAATTGGCGTGGTGTGACGGTCGTTGCACAGTCACGAATTGACCTCTACTGACGACGGCTACGCTGAGCGTACCCCGACACATTGGGCTATGTCGAATAGCACAGTCTAGAGGCGTTAGTGCACGGCCGATGCACCGTCTACCGGCATGCAAGCGCCGCGCGGCACGATGCTTACGCTCTGCGGCGGTCTCGCAGGCGCAGGTCGCGGCGCAGGCGCAGGCGGCCGCGCGCTACAACAACGCGGCGATCGCCGCCGTGGCCGGCCTGCCGCAGCACCGCTCGCAGCACCAGCGCAACGTGCAGGTAAATGACGGCGCTTTTTTTTTCTCTTTTCCTTACGCGTCCCTCGGTCGGTTGCCAGTACGAAAGGGAAAAAAATTCGCGTTCGTTTTTTTTATTTATTTGTCGTTCCCCTGTCCGCTAGGTTGCCAGCGCCAAAGGGATGAAAATGTTTGGTCCTATTGTTTTTAGTTCTTTATCGTGGGCTGCCAGCTAGAAAGAAATCCCAAATCGCAGATTATATTTCAATTTTTGATAAGTAGCTAAGTAGGTAATAGGTATATGACCGTTATCTGACTATGTACAACAGCAATATAAAGTAGATTAATTTTCGTATCATGATTGTGTTTGTCAATAAACAAAAAGTAGCTCAAAAATAAAGAAATTATCCATCTTCCAAGCTTTAATTTTCAACTGTATTTATTTTTGTAAAAATGTTTCGTCTTTTTTTGAAGCTACTACAATATAGGATGAGGCTTGGTGTAACGTGTTATAACGGCTTTCTTTTTACTTGTTAAAAGTTATCTTATGGCTCGTAACCTTATTTTTTGCCTAAAATTTTCGCCCGCAAACTAACTGCTTTTTATTCTGGAATATACGCTTTAAGATTCGCACAATTCTTCCCGAATAAGCATTACATATACACAATTCGCGCGAAGAAATTATATTTATTTAAGTGTGTAATGTTTCTCATATGTTTGTATTTATTCCGTATGCAGTAACATCTGCCGCTGATATATCTCCATAGTCTATATTTACGAGTCTCCCCTTTCGAAGCACCCTTGGGGCAGATGGAATTGTTCTCACATGCAGCCCTTCACCCCGAAACGAATTCGAACGCTTTTATACAGAGTCAGTTACTGTATCGATCGATAAAATTAATTAACAGATCAATAAACTTATCAACCGGTCTTGAATATATAGTTTCAATAAGAAGTACGAAAGTTATTCAATATTTTTTTCAAGAAATTAATAATATATATGGAAAATTGTGGGCGGGTGCGATTATGTATAATTGTATGGAAATAAGGTGACATTTTGTCTCTGTATACTACGAAAAGGATTGAAAACGTGTCGAGTATGAATGTGACAAAATAAAGATTAGAATTATAATGTAGGGCGTTTTAAGAAAAATGTTACAGACTAGAAATGAACACGTTTCAGAATAAAAATGTACAAAGTTTACTCTCTTATTATATTTAATTTAATTTATGTTTATTGCGATAATTCCTTGCTCTAATTTTCTTATTAATTATTATTTGTACTGGCCAGTTCGTAAATTACAAATTTATTCGTATAAACAGTTAATAAATACATTCCCGACATTTTAAGCACGGCCTGTGTAAAATTTTAAACAACTCATTTCGATAAGTGCATTACATTTGCATGCATTACATTGAGTATTGAAGAGCAACCCCATTTATGTAACCAAACTTGGGTTGCCAGCATTGTCCAGAATTTAATGGCACAACCGTGTAACACGGTGCAAGTTAAAGTAACTATATAGGTTTCAAAGTAATTTTATAATGTATAGGTTTTTTTGTACCCCGAAACTCGTATACAAAAATAAATAGCTTAATGTATAAGCTTTTAAAAGAAATAACGAATTTGGAATAGTAACCGACGCGTGTAGGCGGGGATGAGTTATTCACGCGAGATTTTTTGGATGCTATAGGACCTCTCTATGGTATTGCTGAATATACCTACATGGTAATAGGCGTACTAGCTTTTTAATTATGCTTCCGAAGTTCGTCAAAGCCATAGTGTACTACACTATGGCTTACTTAGTGTAGTACATTATAGGCATAAGGGGGGTTATGCCGGTTTGGGGGGGGGGGATATTAATTACCCTCACGTTCCCGCCGCAATTCAACGCTTTTCTATCTCACTTTTACTACAGAATAACATATTAGATATTACTTACTAACCCATATTTCGAACCTTTAGAATTATAGTAACCTATTTAAAAAAATAATCAATTTTTTGGAAACGTTAAATAAAGATTTGTGCACTCATGAACGAACGCGGTGATTGGAAGGGAGTGAAAGAGACCGAAGTATAATTTATGTAGCTTTCTAAAAACGGGCGTTGTTTTATTAAGAGTCGAAAAACGTAGTCGTTTCCCGATATAAAGTCAAAAACATGATTTTCTTAATTAGATTCCTTTAATTCTAAAGGTGTGCGATTTGTTCAGGGACATTTAACCCTTGTATTTCTTTTGTTTTTTTTTTTAAGTTACGATTAAAGACATGACGCCACTCCGATCGCTTTCTGCATACAGCCATCATTAGCACAGATTTGTCATTAGCGCAAGTTGAAATATTGTTTACATTGGCTTTCGAATCGTCGTAAAGTATCAAACAGTTCGAACACATAGAGGAACCTTTGATATTTTACGGCGGAACAAACTCGAGAGGGCTGTCATTTTTTTTTGTAATAACTGCACTTCAATATTTAAGTATAGACATTTATTATATCTTAACGCCTTGGGATTACTCCATTCAGACTATTCATCATTAGTTATGCCTTTATTTTTTCTACGTGCCTACTGACATGATTATTTTGACGTCTGTGACCATTGTGTTGCCAGTTGTGGTATGGTGAAATGTGTTTGGTTGCAGTTTCCGAACAGTGCAATAACAATGGCGATGGGCCAGCAACCGCCCCCACCTCTAGTGAGGAGCACCGCAAACACGTCGAGTATGAAGTGAGCAAGATTAACCATTATACCATCTAGTTGCTTCTTAGGTGCAGCCCTGTATGTAGCAACATACCTACACATTCATATGTATATATATTATAATTATTGCATACGGCGACGCCGGCAGTTGAGCTATATGTTTTTGGAACGAAGTCCCTTAGCACGGTTTGTGAAAGTTATGAGTCGAAATCGATACGTAAGGAAATTGAATTGTTCCCTCTCCATTTGACTCTCGCCGACTCCCATTTGTCTCTGTCTAAATTAAAACACACACTCACACAGATTTAAATGAAAGTACCGCTCGGAGTCCATGCAATGAGCAGCAGAAACAAAGAGAGAGAGAGAGCCGAGAGCCGAATGAAAGGGACAACGCTTTTGCCTTACGTGACGATTTCTGAAGGAACTTCGTTGCAATAAAACGTGTGCGGTCGAGAGCTCCTCTCAGGAACGAGATCCCTTACGCTCACCTTCGAATGCAATTTGTAATAAAATCTGGATATTTTTTGATTCCCTATCATCTTTCAAGGCAAATAATGCAGCATAATAAGCAATGCGTTTATTAAGTTTCATAACATGTTTTAGGGAAAGTATTATTTTCTTAAAAATTACATATAAAAAAAAACGCGCGGCTCTGAGGGATCGTGTAGGAAGGAGACAGCGATACTAGCCGAGAAGCAAATTGATGGGGCGTAACGCTTTTTCGTTACGTGACGATTTCTACCTACGCAAACTTGTGCCTACCGCAAACCGCGTTAAGGAACCCCGATCCAACTGTATAAATTGATACAATTGTTTAGTATTTACAAGGTACTAGGTTAGTAGGTACAAGTGTTGGCTATTTACGGTTTAAACACATTTTAGAGAGCTAAAATTATCGAAAACAGATGCTTAGCGTCAGAAAGAGTATCGGCAGCGAAAAAAAAAACCGAAAAACAACGCTTGTGCCCAATAAGACACCGAAAACGAACGCCGAAAACCAAAGACAGTTCCGACAGAGGCTCAAAAAGATGCAACAAAGTGATCCTATGAATCCATCCGTTCTTGCCAGGTATGCTTAAACTCTCGCGCGAGAATTATTAACAATCATGTTCGCTTTACTTTTAAAATAATTTCTGTTTCAAATCATATAAAACAAATCGTATAAAACAAAGTCAATCAATTCTACCAGTCAATGAATAAGACTCAGTAATTGAGACAAGTCATTCGACTAGGTTTTACAGCCCCCATACAAAGAAAACGATGAATACTTGAAAAGCTCTATGCGCTCATGACACACATTGCTTGCTTGGTCTTTATCGTCTATTTCGTCTATCCGCTATCATCTTTTTTTTTCGACAACAACTTTGGAATATCGCACTAGAATACTTCGACAGTAGTGCAAGAGAAAAACAAAATGAGTAGTCTTTGAATTTAACAGTTTATATTTCGCTCTTTTATATATAAAAAATTTTTGATTAAATGAATATCTTTCAAAATATGTAATGTATCTTTTTGACTTGATTCCTCTGACCTCGCATTATTTGCATTAAAAATGATAGAAAAAAAAATGTCCAGATTTTATGGGAGCTTAGGGAGGGGCGTAACGAACTTCGCTACAAAAGAGGCTCACCCGACCGCACATTTTTTTTATTTCATGTCCTTTTTTTTCATTCCTACCTCTGCTTGCTTACGCTAGAAACGTCACACTATACATGTTTGTCTATGTATATCGATTGAGCTGTCATCTGTCATTAGATAGCGCGCCATTTTCTTTTTTTTTTTTTTTCAAGGCGCCATATTGTAGGAGTTTAACCATTGTCGAGTTTTTCTTTTGAAAATGTTTTGTCGATGGAACCGGACAAGAACACATGCAGCTTTAGTCATCGCGATGACTAAGATCTATTAGGCAAAACAGTTTATGTTTAAGCGAATTAACAAGTATAAAGTGATATTTTAAAGAATGAATGTCACTTTTTTGCTTTTTATGCTCGAGCAAGTCTTAGTTGAAACGTCGAAAAGTGTAAAAAAAAAATTGTTCATCGTGTACATTTATGGTCAGATAGGAGTTATCCTTATCTGCGCACTAGATAACATCGGTCGTATTATTTTTACTAAACCACTAGTAAGTACAGCGACTACCACAAAGTACTAAGTACACATTATCCATACTATTTAATTGGACACAGCCGATTCTGTTTACTTAATGATAACGCTCTAGGCTTTTGCCCAAGCCATAAGAGCATCTCGTTCCCTTCCTTGGCAATAAACAAGGACAACATCTTCATTCGATTGCGTACTTAGGTAAATACATTTATTCAATGTACGATTTTGCATACGTCATATGAATTTTAATAATAATACGTCAAATACTCAATAACATACCGCGTACATAAACGCATCCTCGAGCTCTATGCTCCCGTTTTAATTTCACGCGAATTAGTGAATTTAATAAGTGCTTTATAAAAAAAAAATGTATGTAAGCAACGCAGTTTCTTTTGTAGGTTCGGCTGGTTGATTATGAAACTAATTTGTTGCTAACGTATCATAAGGAATATTAATTTTATTGCATGTTATGAAGGATGTCTTATATATCGTCGGTAATAGTTGCCGACTATGAAAGCTCGCCGTATGTTTGTTTATTTGTTTTAATTAAGGAAAATATCCATACAGAGGCTGCTCCTAAATCTTTATGTACGTGTTTGTCTCCCTTAGATTTCCACTCGCCATTGTCTTTTCACTCGTTCTAACAGATACAGTAGGTTTGGGGATTTTAATTTTATATTTACATATATTTTTCCGAGATGATGCGCAAAAACGAGCCTAATTCAAAGCAGTGAGCGGAGGCTATTGGCATGAACTATTTAAGAAAAAACACGTTGGTAGCTGTTAGATAGCATCTGGGAATCGAACCTGATTTTTATGTTCTGTGAGGTACGGCAGACTGAGGACAATTATATGTTAGTACCCCATAATATTTAAAAATATAGGTTCTTTGTTAAATATCAAATATGTATAGTTTACATACAATACACATTGAGTGAATAATAATATAATGGTGATTTCGTTAACCGACTCCAAAAAAGAGGACGAAATAAAAATGAAAATAACTCGGAAAACAAAATTATCAAAAACATCATTTTCGTGAATTTTCAATTATTGAACATAATTCAATTATTTAATTCAATTATTTATCATAAATGTCTTGGTCAGAACGTAAACTAAGTTAAATTTTTTTTTTTTTTTTTTTTTTTTTTTGTTTTGGTTCATTAACAGACTTTCTAACAAAGAATATTAAACTTTTATAATTTCAAACGTATCATGTAAAAGGAGATGCAATTAATGAAAAATGTATAAAACGAGTATTAATTATTATATTATACGGGGGCAACATCGTCAGGTACAAAATACCTTAAGTTTTGTCAGAAATGATTACGTAAACAAAAAGCGTTGTGACTGCGCCAATTTTATAACCATTTTTTTAACTATCATTCTCAAACGCTGTTAAATGTTTTCTGTGTTAGTTAATAATTATAACATTCAGGGTCCGTCGACACGTTTTTTATTTTCTATAATTTTTAATGCAAATATTGCAATGTTATCAAATCAAAAGTTAAAGAATTTAAAATAAAACATTTAATTACATTGTAAAAGAGAGATTTTACGTAAAAAATAATATATAAAATAAAATTCGGTCCCGAACGTGCTAATTTAACTAGCGTGTATTAGAAAGAGAGAGTCGTTAACGATTGGAGGGGCACGCTTTTTCCTGACATGACGATTTATATAAACTAATCTTAAATATAATATATGAAGTCTTTGGAAATAATTATGAATATACTTTTTGTATAAACACATATCCGATGAATCGACAACGTCGTCCTTTTTTTTAAGTCGGTTAAAAACATAAGCCTTTTTCTGTAATAATTGTTTTACACTTTTTCACACGTCACAGTTTTGACATAAAGTGAATTATTTCTTGCAGTGTTCCACCTCAAGTTACTGGGACAATGAATGGCCACTCAACCTCTCACTCCGTCGACAATCGAAAAAGGCTTACCCCGATACCAGACATCAGTATAACTGGCAGCCATACGCCGTATAAGGTGAGACAAGAATAGTTTACCTTTATCTGTGGTTACTGTTTCATTGTTGTGAGTTTATAATTCGAAAATAATATTTAAATTCGTAATCTAACATCACGTCACAAAAGATAGGTAAGCGCCGGTTCAAAGGCGTCAACGCCTCTGACGTTGTGGATGTTTGTGGGCGAACCGTTTAATATTGGGTGAAGTGAAATTCCAATGAAATAAATGCTAGATATTACGGCTCAGCAGATTTACCACTTCACCTACTTCACATTAATCGAAAAACTCGTCTGTTACAATATATATAAGATAATTAATCAAAAAAGGAGACGGATATAAAATTCAATATAAAATTTTATATCCGTCTCCTCTTTTGATTAATTATCTTGGATAATGGGTAAAGTAAAAGTGTTTTCCGGAATGTCTTCTGAAGAATACCGTTTCGCATTGCAGGTTCAAAAAGCGCTGGTGGAGAACACAATGGTGCCGTGCATCAACGCGAAGCCGTACCAGTACACGGAGCTGCTGATGACGCTGCCCGACCTCGCGAGCCACTTCTTCCCGCGCGTCTCGCTCGCCACCTGCCGCGCCATGCTCGACGCCCTCGGCCTCACGCTCTACAGGCCCAACTCGTGAGTGTACTCACCGCCCATTTCCATTTTTGGACTGATTCATTCGGGAATCATTCATGGAAACGTACTATGACTTTTCTTTTCGTCTGAGAAGTTGGCAAGCAACTGTTCACCGGATGTTAGTGATAACTGCCGCCAATGGACGTTCTACCCGTATGGTTGCAGATGCATTGCAATCTTTTAATAAAGTGGGCCCTGGTTAAGTCACTCGCCAGACGAAATGCAGAAGTGTAACCCTTCCATTTCACGGTGGTCTTCTGCGAGGTCGTGGTACTTTCCCGGACATACCTGCACATCCGTGCAAAAGCATTAAGTCGAAAAAGTGTAAATCCGGCAAAACGTTGTGGCTCTGTACACCGTGCCAGAGAATACGACGAACATAACCCCGCCCCTTCGGCAGTCTTATAAACCCAGAGGGTTAGGCGTTTAAAAATCTCCACGGTCGGTAGTTTGATAAAAGCAAATCGATGAAGGTGCTTCGCACATTCGCACAGGACCCAGCTGCAGGTGCTGCGCAACTCGGGCAAGTGCAAATCGGCGGCGGCCGGCGAGAACGGCATGGCGCTGGTGCAGATCCGCGACGTGATGCAGCACATGCCGCAGTTCAAGTACATGCTGCGCTCGGGGCTGGCGGCGGACGAGCCGCACGCGCCGCACCAGGCGCCGCGGCCCGCGCACGCGTCGCAGCCCTCGCACGCCAAGCGCGCGCGGGCCAACTGAGAGTGTCGCCCCGGGGGCGCCGACCCCCGGGCGGAACACCACCACCAGCACCAGCACCAGCACCAGCTGCAGCACCAGCACCAGCTCATGCCGCAGCCGCTGCTCTGGCCCGACTTCTTCGCCGCCGCCTACGGGGGGCCGGTGCTGAAGATGGAGTACAGCCCGCCGCGCTAGGCGGCCGCGCCCGAACGGACCACCCCGCCGGCGCGTTTGTGTCTAGACCAGGGTACTTACTGTATGTGGTGGCGCTCGATGCGATCGCGACGGTGTACGACTTTGTGTTCGCCGTGTGCCTATTTACATGTGTCATGTCAAGGGGAAAACGGACAAGAAACTCTTTGGTCCTTCTGTTTTATTTTAGAGAAAAACCCGATAGAATCATATCAACAGCGAAGACTGGGCAAATCAGAAAACGTCTATAATTGTTGAACTTTTAAGATTTGAATATTCATCATATTATTTTTATGCTGAAATTGAATTCTTACACTGAAAACTTGGTCAAAGTAACAATTATAGTAGTTATTTAATGCAGAACAATAATGGTCACAAAAAAAGTCCTTGCTTCGCCTATGCCGACCAATATAAGGTCATCAGTTATAGAATGGAAACAACATACTGAGATGCTAACAGTCATAAAACCTTGACATACTAAATGCTACAGATCAAGGTCGGAAAACGCGCATGGGGCACCAACAAGTATTACAAGTAAAAGTTTGTTTGTAAAATATTCTTTGTCTATGATTAGTGACTATTAATTCTGTGAAGGACACCAATCCACCAGTGCAAAAAAAATGACAGTAATTTTAATGGATGTCATATTTTAAATTTAAATGTGAAGAAACAAATTTTAGTGTAGGGAGCTTCACTAGGGAGCTGCCCTGTGTAAAATTTATGGATAATTAAAAGATGAATGTGGACTCTTTAGTGTATATTTATTAAGGAATTCAACTATTTAACAAGTGTAACTATTTAAGGTGTAAGTATGTTAAATTTCCTTAAGTTGTACAAATTGTATGATATAACTTGTAAATCTAAAGATCTAACTTATTATGATCTATGATAACTATTTAATAGAAGACTGAGAATTTTATTTTATAATTATTCCTAGAACAAAAATGTTTGAAGCCTAAAGGAAAATTTTTAGTTGAATAGCAACCCAAAGTAAGGTGTGGTGTTTTGATTGCTTGGCATATTATTTTGCATTTGTAAAGAATTTGTAAATTTTATACTGTGCAGAGATAACTAAGTATGCTATTATTTTATAATTTATACACTATGCAAAGAATTGCATGAAACGCAAATAAGCTTTATATATCATCACAATATAAATAGAAATTAATCACACAAGTTTTGGTCACATGTATAAAAATAAATGAAACTAATTTTACGGATTTATCGCGTTTATTTTTAATTTAAGTTCCCGACGTTTCGAACCCTTTACAGCGTTCATGGTCACGGGACAGACTGAGGTGTTAGACGTCTGATTGTCAAAGTTATCCCGGGCTACCGTCAGTTTTTGTATTATTGATTTTGTGTCCGATCTATGCAGAGGTAGCTAATTGTATCTTGTCTTGCAGTAGTGGTTCTTTTGGGCTTAGATTTAATTTTATTGATGATAGGATCCCAAGCTGATGGTAGTACCCAACCCTCTTCTCTATTGAAATTAGGGTGTTTTTTAATTTCAATAGCCTCGCGAATCATCCTTGGGAGGAATCGGTGTTCTTTTGCAAGGATCTGTGGTCTATCAAACCTGATGTAGTGGTTGGGCCGATTTAGAGTGTGCTCACGATGGTTCGAAACGTCGGGAACTTAAATTAAAAATAAACGCGATAATCCGTAAAATTAGTTTCATTTATAATGTGTAATCGCGTAAATACAAGAAATTATTATGTATTAAAATGTTCTTTTATACAGAAGAATTGATACAGACCTGAAATTTTCTTTGCCAGAGACCTGAATGCTTTATGTTACAAGTACACCTTAATGCTTTAATGTTAGAAAATGTGAAAATACCCTGGAAGTGCTCAGTCATTTGTCAGTTTAATGGAATTAGAAAATTGTAAGTTCTTAAGTGTAAACAATGTTAGTAAAATTGAAAAACCAAGAGGCTTTGCTGTGTTTATTATATTTGTAAAAAAAATCTTAGTACCAATTTTATTTCTACGCACAAATCTATACGAACACAACAATTCTATTTGTGAAATACATACTAAAATGCAGTGAAGTTCTTAAACTTTTTGCCCAGACCAGTGAAAAATATCCTTAATAAGGGTTTATTAGCCCAATAAAATATATTAATAATTGTTTCCTATAAATAATTAATTATTAAAGTATAGATTTCATTATGCAAAACTTAGTCAATGATAAGTATATCATATTACGCTACAATTGCGTATTTCAAATTTCTTTAAGACTCGCCCCATGCAATGATCTTTAATAATATAGATGACGCATGTCCTTACTGCGCGACTTTCAAAAATTGTTCCGCTTTACATTATATGACATATAAGTCAATGTGACATGATATGGAAAAAGATAGTAGTCTATAGAATTGCAATCTAATTACACCAATTGGTGTAATTTCAGTGCCTCAATTTCTGTTTGCATTTCTTTGTATAAAATATCATTGAATCCATTTATAAAAAATTGCTAACAAGCATTTTTAAATCATTGACATGACAAAATAATGAAATCTTTGCTTGTATATGGTCACTCAGACCATTATTTATGTCGTAGTAGTCTACATTTTCTCACAAATCTAAATGTTTCATATTTTTAAACATAACCTTTGATCATAAAAGGCATTATGTAAATTTTATAAACTTCTGTGTAACACATAATGTGTATCAGTGCTGTGTAAATTTTATGCTAAATTATTTATGATTTAGCTCGTAAGTAACTGTATGTCTACTTGATATAGTGTCAGCTGTATATGTTGTGATGATTCTTCAGAACACATTGTCTCGTGGAGTCAATTGTTTGGTTTAAAGAAATAAAAAGAATGTTTAAAACTTTGCAATCAGTGACTTTATTGTTGAAATTCGATTTTTACATTTCTGTGTGGTCGGAGGGGGCTCGTCAGGAACGTTTGTTCAACTTTGATGTATTTTGAAATAAAAGTCTATAGAATAGCAGTAAATTGATACATATATTATCGTTATATATTTTGTTTTTCATCATTTTTAAATGCAAATAATTTAAGGTCATTTGAATACTTCATGACAAATATTTTGTAGAGGTAATTATATTTCAGACCCATTTTACTTATGTGGAGATATTTTTTGTGTAGTGTAGTTTGTGGTTAAGTAGTCGATCCGACTCGGGAGAACAGCACAGGTAGCTGGTGCACGACGACGAGATGTTGACGCCTTGTTGACTAACGGAAGGGGATATGATACGATACAAGGGCCTTTAAAACGGAGGTTTTAATTCGGCGTGGATGGGACAAGAATTTAATTATTCTAGAAATTCAAATGATCAACCAACCGTTAACCTTCGAAAGTTAGAAGGGATCTGGCATATATACCCATCGGCGAACGCGCTGTAAAGCTTCGGTCACACAGAACTCGTTGTGTGAGACAGGCTATTCGCTGCGATTTGAATTAAGCATGTTCAATTTTACTCTGCGAAAGTTTGCCGCGATCCATTATGCTCAGCGTATCGCTTACAAAAAGTCATCATATTTATATTTGGCGTACCAAGAGAGTCATATTATCGAAATTTTCGATTGGGAAACTCGTGTGTGACAGCGAGTTTCCCACTCAGCGAGTTGTCGCTGCGAGTATTATTTGCAGCGGATACTCTCGGAACGAGGGTTAACTGTATATAACTTAAGTGCGGTCGAGGTTCGGGCTTCTATCGCAATCTCCTTGCGGCGACAACGAAAGATTAGCGGGCGCAGGACTACCAAAGCATACATGACATAAGTGATGCATATGGGTGCGTGCATTAACACAGCAATAATGGCTTATAGTTTACAGGTTGACTGATGAACATTTAAAGTAGAAGTGGGCGATACAAATCGTATCAGATATGAAAACTAGATATTAGTACAATATCCCAATATCGCTTACTGGCTCGTTCAATATCTATGTATTTTACAAATATCTGATATTTCCGAAATCTGATGTACCGTGCTCGCTCGCTATACCGACACGAATCGCGATACGGCGATATCATACGCGTTTGCCACAATATCTGATTTTTAAACAGATTTCGAGAGAAAAAACGCGTCAGATACAAAAGAGCGGGACGGCAAGCAATGCACGATATCAGATATCGAGCGACAAAGCGCGAAAGAGAGTGGGACGGCACGCAATGCACGATATCAGATATCGAGCGACAAAGCGCGTGAGATATAAATACTTACTAGTTAGAGTGGGACGGCAAGCAATGCACGATATCAGATATCGAGCGACAAAGCGCGTGAGATATAAACACTTACTAGTTAGAGTGGGAACGGCGGCATGCACGCAGATCACGATATCAGCGTATTACGACAACACAACGCCACAATATCTGATATAATTTAATAGTGCTGTGCTGCTTTGGTGGAAATCAGACCAAGGCTTATGTGCCTTGTGTGTATATTTTAAATTCTTCCGCCCTAAGCTATAATACTGAATGTATTATTTCTTACACAAATAATAAAAATATTGCCACTCGATTGCGTGTTCTAAAAATATGTTAAAGTCAATTATTAAGCGGTATATAAGATGTTAAAATAAATCATTTTTATATTACTTCAATTTATATTTTTAACGAAATTTTTAATTTAATAATTTAAAAAAACGCATTTTTAGTAAGACAGGGTTAATTATTAATGATCGTCGAACAAGACTTTCGACGAATAAAGTCAGAGAGCTTACGTTCCTAAACGTGAATTTGAACCCGGAGGGATATAAATAATTATTAACCCTGACATAATTGTAAATATATAATGTTAAGTTTTAAATATAAGGAAAATTATGTACATAGAATGAATCAACTTTTAAATACGCCTGCACAATTTTATATTTATAATAAGTATGAAATATTGCAGCCAGTCCTAAGCCTGGAAAAAGTATGAAGGGAAGTTATTTCATTCATGTTATATCCACTCCCATAAAGTATACAATTTTTTTTTTTTCGAATTAAATTAATCAACGTGGATAGGGAACCGTAAAATATCTAGATATTAAAATACATAGTTTCCAAATCTGATATTTGAAATCGATATCGGATTCAGATACGGTACTCAGAAAAAGCGATACGACCCATCCCTAATTTAAAGAATACAATACAAAAAAACAGCCAGTATACTGCTGAAGACTATTTGTGTTAAAAAAAATTCAAAAAAAAAATTAAAACTAGGTCTGTAGGGTCCCCCGCACATCAACATTTTTAAAAAGTTTATCCTCAATGGCTATGCGCACTATTATTACCACTAGTTTAACGTCCTTAATTAGTGTTAGAGTTTAAAAATACAAGACTAAATAGAACAGCAATTCACATGCTGTTAATACACCAATCGAGCCTCGTACTTCAGACTCATCATTTTCCGCAATATAATTATACAGCGTGTCGTTACAACCGCGACAATAAATGGAACCATGTCTAACGCTACTTGCCAATAATCATAAGAAAATATAAAACGTTAAAAATACATAATTAAAAAATATATTTTTTAAATAAAAAAGAAACAAAATTTGTATCATCCTATACTTCAACTGACTGATTCATACATTCAGAGACGTTTTCATTCGTTGCCACTCTTGAATGGTAGATGTGGCTAATGGGATCACTTTCAAGCCAAAAAGACACTTAAGGACTGATAAGAAAACTATTTATTTTAACTTTAACATATTTTGAACTTATTTTTGACGAAACCTAATCATTATGAAATTTATGTCAAGAGTTATGTCACTGAATTGGTTTATGGAGAACCACTTAGATTGCCAGGGGAATTACTAGTCTCTGCCTCAGAGCCAGATTTTCTTAACGACCCCCTCAGTGACTTTTGTCAGCCAACTCCGTAAAAAAATGTCATCATTGCGTCCGGTGCCTGCATCTAGACATTGTCAACCTGCTTCTTTCATCTTTAAAGATCTCGCATCGGCAACTCATGTTTTCCTCAGAGATGACGCTGTAAGAAAACCCCTGCAACCTCCATACACAGGTCCATACAGAATAACGCATCGGGCTGATGATGGAAAAACCGTGACGCTGGAAATAAAAGACAGACAAGTCACTGTCAGTATTGACCGAGTTAAACCGGCTTTCTTGGATCCCAGCAGCTCAACTCCGAACTCCCAACCTAAAATTCTGCAGAGCCCAATATCTCCTCAAACATCTTTTGCTCCAACGCCGACTCCCAAAGTACCTTCCTCACCATCCATTCCCAAACCAGACCGAGCACCTTCAGCCCCAGCACCTTACGTTACTAGAGCTGGAAGAAAGGTTAAATTTAGAGAAATTTTAGATCTGTAATGAAAAATTTGTGTTAATTTGATATTTGTAACTGCTCTATTTTATTTTATTTCACTAATGTGTGTTGTGTTGTTTTACTAACAATTTTAACCTCTCCGTGGGGGGGTGGTGTGGCGTCTTAAGATGATTATCTGTGGGTCGACGCGTTTTCTTTTTCACGTGAGTTGACACTTGACGTGGGACTTGGCAGACGTCTTGGAAAAAATTGGATATTTGGTCCATTATGGCTCACAGATTTTCATTGCAACAATAGCAGATACTGTGCCATCGGATAGCCTTAACGTTCAGTGTAATAAGTCGAACAACTTGTAAATATACGCCATTTATATACTGCAGGTTATTTTATTGACCAACAGTCACCTATTTAAGAAACAAGATGAAGGGGCCACGGGATGTTTTATCGACATATCCGGCCCCAAACATTCAACCCATTTATATGCTTTGTGACATTTACAAATGAACTTTACGTTACAGTTTTATACGTAAGGTGTTCTAAACATGTTTGTTTTGTAAAATTTAGTAACTCGGTAGTTTAAAGAATGTAAATGCTTAATACAATTTTAAAAAGTTATCCTCTATATATTATACGTGTTCATTTATTGTCGTGGTTGTACTGACACGCTGTAGAACATATTATAAATGATTGAAATGAGATTAAACGTGTAAAATGCGTGTTTTCTAATGTATATAATTTGGATTTAGTTAAATATAAGATATTTAATTATAATACATAACTTTGTTACTTCGCCCTGGCACATATATTATTATGTTAAATGGCTTACCCATATTTTAGGGGAAAAATATTTTTATATTTTTCCCCTAAAATATGGGTAAGCCATATAAAAAAGCCTAAAATATGGTAATTTATTTAATCCAATTTCCTCGTACACACACTGTTTTTTGCTGGAAAAGCTGATAAACTAAACACCTTACGTAAGCAATGGTCGCCCATTAATCGATAGTTTGGGGAATGATTGCGATACGGAAAAAGAAGGTTTGGGTACTTTCTTAAATTTTTACCCAATCGCGCGGAAGAGTACCGCGTTCATGATGAACTAATCGTTCGTAGTAACAAAAGTACACTTCTCAGCTCATTGCCCGAATGGACAGATCTCTTTGGAGATGCTGGGTTGGTGCACACGTTATTTACTTGTCTTAAATTTTATGCCAAGAAAAATATTTTTACAAAGGAGGGCTTAAAGCCAAAGGTATTTTCTGCCAGTCCATCTTATGGGAGATCCAGAGAAGTTGAGGTAGGTGCACAAATAGAACAAAACTATAAACGAATATACGTGAATTAGAGACTACTTGTATTATAAACTTATTTTACAGGATAACTGGACACAATATTACATTTACTAAGCCTACTTTCATATACAGTAGTATTTAAAAAAGACAAAAATACATACGTATAATCTTATAAAATAAGAGTGAAATGATTCTGTCAACAACTTTTTGAGTAAGTGCCGTGAGCTTTGCTTTTAAATACGTGGCGACTGTTAGCCATCCTTATTTCGAGAGGTAGCGTATTCCACAGAAAAATAGATTGGATGAAGAAAGAAGAGTGCATAAAATTAACGGTGAGAGGGACATTGGAGAAGACGATTATTCGTCGAACGAAGTTTCTTATTGCTTACGGTACTAATCGACGAGGAATCCAGGAAAGAATAAAATGTCCGATAGCTCCTCAGATTATATACGTATATACGTACAGATTTATGCGTATATGCCCTTGGTAGATTAATTAGTTATTCTAAATTCTAAGATTATTTTATTGTTTCTTAGGAATAATTTCATGCTAAATAAAAATGATTATTATTAACAAAGTGACGGGACCGTGATATCTACGTGCCCACCCAACTCCACCAAAGAGAATGTAATCACTATGCAACCCCACAACGTGCGTGCTTTTTTTGTTTCAAATGATATGACCTGAATGAATTTCAGTATATATGTCTTATCTATGGATACGACTCACGTATTTTGGTATATTTGTGATAGCAAAATTTTTTTGTATTATACGTAAAAACCTCATTGTGGCCAATTAATAAGTCTAATTTAGCTACTTGTCGATTTCACTAAACTGTCTATTTTAAAAATAAACGAACGAACTTACTCCATATGGGTATGAGATTTCTTCTGTGGTTACTTATCTTCTAACTAATATATTCTGCGGTTATCTTATTTACTGTCAATCAATTGATTGTCAATTGTCAATTCTTGCACGTAGTTTGATGCTTCATCTTTAATCTTTTTGTCTAATATTGTTTAAAATAAGAGTGAATGAGTTATGCTTAAAAGAATTAGGCTACGAAAACTTTAAATTTCAATAGACTTTAAAAAATGGAACTTACATACCGCAGAAGCTTTGGTCATTTCAATTATTTCATTTTCATTTTACGTTAATAACTCCCTATTTTATTTGATTACTCTAAGATTTATTGTAATTAATTTTTGCATAAGTTAAACTTAGCATTTAGGTTAGCTTGTGTTGTTTTTCAGGCATTTTTATAATATAGTTATAAGTTTAGTTTTAACATTTAGAATGAGCATTCAAGTGTGTAGGGATACTTCAGACGCTGTGGTTTTGTATTTACCACAGCGTTTGTATCTTAAATCGTTCGCAAAGCTTAATATTTCTGTTCAGCTTTCCACTCAAAAGCACTACGGCAAGTCATTATCAAATTGGGAATTGACGGAGAAAATACGAAAAATGATCCAACCTGACGCGTTTTCGGTGTTGAAAGTGTCGAAGCACAGTTCGGAAGTGATAAGGTTTGACGCGGAGTTGGAGAATCGCGAGAAAATCGATAGAGTGTTGGGTCGTCTTGATAATCGTATTATTCAACTTAATGATTATCCAGAGCCCTTGAAATTAAAGGCATCCGAAGCAAAATCGGACTTCCCGAGCAGACATACATGGGATTCTTTCTTTCGAGATGCTACAGATATGGACGAAATGAAGCCCGGAGAGCGACCAGACACAATCCACATATCAAATATTCCAATCAGTTGGTTTGTTCATGAACATGAACCAGATAAAGATGCTCCACCTTCTGACAGCATGTTTAAAAAAGTATTTGAAAAATTTGGTGCTATACGGCAAGTTGATGTTCCTGCTGCAGATCCTTTCAGAATGCAAATGAAGGAGGCCATGAGGGGTATCACTATTCCTATAGGAGACTCCGCTCTGTACTTTGAAGGCTATATTCAATTTAGTGAGTATGTTGGCTTTGTCCGGTGCATGGATGCATTAAGAGGCAGAAAACTGTTACGAAAGAGGGATGATATATCTGAGTGGTGTAATATCAAAGTAGACTTTGACCGAACTAAGCATATGACAGATGCTGCCGTGAAAAGAAGGGCTATAGTTCGTGAGAGGCTGATCACCCGTCAAAGAGCTAAGGAGGAAGAAGAGAAGATTGAGAAGGACAAAATAGCTAAAAGAGAAGCAAAAGAGAGGTAAGTTGTGATTTGTCTGCTCTTTTGATGTTGTTATTATTACAATTTATTACTTATTTCTTTACCTTTCATTAATTCCTTGTTTGCTATTTTTGATTACTTTTTTTCAACTTTGGAATTTGCTACTTTCTCCTGTCATTTAATCACACACTCTTAATGGCATGCTCTTGGAAGCTTAATTATGTAGCATTTATTTTGATTCCATGCATGTTCTACCGTACCATCCCTTTATATGACAATAATTTAAATTGCTCCACAACATACATACTCACTTTGTATATATAAAATCATAGAAAAAGTAGCTACCATCATCATTCTATTTATGTTTAGTTATGTATACATACATACAAATGTTATTTAACTTTATATGAATTGCAAAATAATAGAAATAATGTTTAAATCCCAATCTTTCCAGACTGAAGCTAGAGAACACTGAAAGGGAGAAATTAGCTAATATGAGGGAGCGAGAGGAAAAGCGGAAAAAGAAGAGGTTGGCAAAACTTGTGGAGAAAGATAAGATGGATGTTAATAAGCGTGTCGCTGAGGAAGAGAAGAAACTACTGCATGCACATAGAAGACTGCAGGCGATAAGACTGATTGAGGAGCTGTTTAAGAGGATAGAGGTGAGGTTTGAGGGGTTTTGACACCATCATGGGAGGGAGCATTTCAGTTCACTTTAGTTCAGTTTATTTAGGGATTTAATTGGCGAGTAACGTAACCGGACTCGCTTCACTTTTCAAAGGTTGCCAATGAATCTGTACCAGATGATACCACATGTTTCTGACAGTGGTGGTAAGCTTTACATAGAGAGAACCGGTCATCTGAAGCTTATAGCATAAAATAATAACTAAAACTGGTGGGGTTATGCAACAGTTTTCACTGTTGCACGTATGGGCAGATCCGTCCAGGGAAGTGTCATGAACACATAGAATTCTGGAGTGAATTGGTAGTGTTGTACTTCTGTGATTCGTCTGGTGAGTGTGGTAGCCGAAGCCCGCTTTATTAAAAGATGGCAACTCATCTGCAACTCTAGGAGTGTTAAAAATGTCAATGGGCAGTGGTTACCACTTGACATCAGGTAAACCGCCAGTACGTTTGCCATCTTCTAGCATAAGAAAGAAAAACAATATCTTGTAATCTTGCCAGTTTAAGGAGGCAGTTATGACCTAATATCAGTTCAACTGCCATCTATCTTGCCACCTTTTAGAAAGAAAGAAAGACATTTATATTTGTTAAAACATGGTACAATATAGGTCCTAAAAGTTACCCTTATCTTCTACCATTTCTGATGAACTAATATGATATTTTACATTGATATACGCGGACCGGACAGACATTCTCCTGTACACCCAACCTAAATCCGACAACTTATAAATAAAAAAAATTAAAAAGAAAGTTGTAGTGTACCGAATTATGAATCTAAACCATTCGAATATACTTGAAGACACTCAAAAAAATTCATTAAAATCGGTCCAGCCATTTAGGAGTTCAGTGACATACACATATACAGAAGAATTATATACAGCGTCTCGTTACCACCGCGACGATAAATGAACACACATCTAACGCTACTTGCCAATAATAATAATAAAATATTAACGTTAAAAAATCCATAATTAAAAAATTTTTTTTTCGTACAAACTAATTAAGGTAAAAAGAAACAAAATTTGTAACATCCTATACAACTACAACGGACTGATTCATACATTCAGAGACTTTTTTATTTGTTACGACAGCATTACAAGTCTCTCCTTCCAACAGTATGTTATGTCTCTTAAATTCATTCAACCCATTCATATGCTTTGTGACCTTAACAAATGAACTTTACGTTACAGTTTTATACGTAAGGATGTTCTAAATTTCTTTGTTTTGGAAAATTTAATAATTCGGTAAATATTGATGTTTAAAGAATGTAAATGTTTAATACAATTTTAAAAAGTTATCCTCTTCATGTGTGTTCATTTATTGTCGCGATTGTAAAGACACGCTGTGTATAACTAGAGATCCGCCCTGGGTTTGCACGGGTGCAATGTATTATACATATAAATCTTCCTCTTGAATGAAATTGAAACTGTATATATTAAAACGCATCAAGATCCGTTGCGTAGTTTTGAAGTTCTAAGCATACATAGGGTCAGACAGACAGCGGGACGACTTTGTTTTATACTATATATAGAAGGTATTCGAAGAAAACATAATTTAGCGAACTGTTTTGCAAATTTTTGTCCTATAGATAATCACTTTTGTCTACAAATGTTCCTCAGCTACGGCCCGAGCTGCAGCGGAATGGCCACGAGAGGTACTACGGCGATAGGTCCGCGCGCTCCCGCCTGGTGGAGCGCCACAAAAGGGAGCAGGAGCGCAGGCTCGAGGAGCAACGGCAGCTGCTGCAGCAGGCCGTGGACGGTAACGACCGCCGTTCTATGGCGCGAATATCGATATTTTTTATTCTATGCATCGATATTTCGACACAAAATATTCGATGTAGAAAATCGTATCGAAGCCGATTATTTTTTCAAATTCTAATCCGGCACAGTCCGTATATGTCAAATGTTTAATGCTTGACATACCTTTTTTTGGACACAGGTTTTTATTATTTATTTATTAATATTTATCGATATATTTTTTGACTTTCGCCATATGTGGGGATTTCCTTACATACATATATACACTAGGTCATCATATTTCTTTAAATTGTTATGTAAGAATTTTATAATGTATGTGTTTTATAATGTGTGTAATATGGAATGAGTGAGTGTATGTAAGGAAGTCCCCACACCTACAATGCCGGACAATGGCCTATCACGGCTCTTCGTAATACGTTAGGACAATCGTATATTTCTATATTGTGACCTCTGTTGAAGGATCGCTAAACTACCTATCTAATAACAATCGGATATAATACACAAAGTACTGTATCTATTGAGCAAGCCAAACCGTTAAAATGTAAATAGATGGCGCTGTTCTTAACACCCATATTATTCTGTCAAGGTGGGGATGGGCTCAATTAATTAAACGGATAATCTCGCGTCCAAATTATAAAGGAGGTAAGGACCTCCTTTATGATTAATGGCCGGTTCCTATATTCAACGAATGGCTGTTAGTTACATAGCTTCGTAACTTTCATAACGATAGATAAAAGGCGTGTTCGCCCGGTTCCTATATTAACAAAACGAGGCGTTTTCCTTACGAGCCGTTGCATTACCAGCGGAAAGTCAGTTACTAGTGTTCCCTTAATCTACGAGTCGTTATGAAAATTACGAAGCTATGTCACTAACGGCCGTTCGTTGAATATTTCTTTTTTTTTTTTTTTTTTTAAAACATTGCCCTTACTTTAGGATAACATTATCCTGTGTTGTAAGGGCGTTTTACAAACATAAGTTTGACACGGACAAACACCCAGATGTGAAACAATTTGGTGTGGAACCCAGATGTGAAACAAATATCTGTGGGCCGCACAAATAGTTGTCCCGTGTGGGAATCGAACCCACGACCCCCGACGCCGAAGCCAATACCTCGGCAACTGCGCCACGGAGTCATCGAATATAGGAACCGGGCATAAGGGATCGGTACGAGTGGGAGTACGAGCTTCATGGTCGCAATTATACTTCGAGCCCCGCCGACTGACGATGTGTACCGTTTCAGGGCGCATCATAATCCGGTCGGCGCTGGAGACCAGGAAGCCCAGGGCGGAGTCCTCGTCGCCGCTGAGCTCCCTCTCTTCGGAGGACGAGAGGATCAGGAAAAGGATAAAGACCGAGAAACTCCTCACCCCCGAGAGGGGGGGCTATGATTATAAACCACCAGGTAATTACGAAATTATCGTATATAGAAAAATATATTAATTTTAAGTAACCTGACACAAGAAAAAAACAAGTCATTGCTGAGAATCATATCTCGAAAAATAAAAAAAACTGCTCCATAATTTATCTATTTGTTCAGAAGGTACGATGGCACAGACACTTAAAACTTATAAAACCCCTGTTTTTACGTCGGGGGTTAAAAAAAAGCAAAGTAACTGTCTGTACACATCCCATTCGTGGGCAAATTACATACTACACCATCTGTCGGAGTTTAGATTAGAAAGGCGTATTGCACCACGTAGCCTAACTGTGGATTCGCGGACCTCACTTGTCTTCAATCGATCAGCGTTTTGTCGCTTGCTTCGATTTCATATTTTCGAAGCCCAGCAATGGGGCGTGTCTCTGTTACTTTGAGTTAAGCATGTGATGAGACAGTACTTAAAATTGCAATTAAAAATTTCTTGGGTACCGGCTGGGGATTGAACTAACCTGAGTTATAGCTCGAGTATGTAGAATTTAATCGAGCGCCCGGATGATGAGTTATCATCGTATGAGTCGCGGGCAACCGGTGGATGCAAATGGAGTGTTTTGAAGAAGAAGAAGAAGAAGAAACGTTTATTCACGGTCTAAGCACAAATAGATACATATAACACTTAAAAATAATAATGTAACTACACATTATATAAAATAATATTAGAATAACTTAAAATAAATGTAAACATAACAAAAAAACTAAAAATAATAATAATAATAATTTAAGGTCTGTGTAGCAGCATAAGACCGTGAAACGGACGGGACTCGGTAAAAGTCGAGATACAGTAACTAAGATTCGTTCTGATCCCGACGCCGGTTTTCAGTCCGCCCGCACTTCGAGACAACTCGGACGGCTGCGTCAGTGCACTTGTAATACATACCTACAACGCAGTATAGCGATAATTAAATTATATAAAGTCATATTTTTCACTACTTCTCATGTGGCTCTTTTTCCCACTTTCTTATTTACTCTACTTATTGTACGGTTGACTGGTAGAGAACATCTAATGGTGTTGACTGTTAAGTCCGCTATTACGTTTTATCCGCAAAAAATTTTTGAATAAATAAATAATTAAGCTTATACTCGTAATAAGGCTATATTGAATAAAGAGATTTTGACTTTGAACGATGCTATGTTTCAGTTGCAGGTCTCTACCCGTACGGCTTCCCGTACCCGTTCGCCTGCGCGCCCACACCCGGATATCCGTTCCCACAAAGTATCAGTACCGCTCCACATTCATTATTTTTTTTTATGTGAGAAAGTGGCAAACGAGCTGGCGATTTAAATGATGTTAAGTAACAACCGCCGCCCATGGCCATACGCAACACCCGTAGGAATGCGGATGCGTTGCCACCTTTTAATAAAGTGTGCCCCAACTACAACAAACCGGGACGGACCTGCCCATTCTTGTACCAGCGTACACTTGCGTGGTCCTACCGCAGAAAAACAACAGAAATTTACTTAGCACACAAAATTTTCAAAGGCCTGAGGTAGCCACTAAGCCAGTGTCAACAACTGCCGTACCGCTTTTTGTCTTTACGTAACTAATTGTAATTTACCGCTTACTAAGATAGTAACTTTTGTATTGACTACTTCAGTCCGTATAAGAAAACCTCATTTGTTAGCGTAGCTCGATTCGTATACGTCGTATCGAGACTGAGATTACCCCATTCGTGGATAAGACACCCCCCCGGTGGGTTCATAGTTTTTATTTAGTTATTTATTAACTTTATTAGGAAACTTCACATATACAAGAAATGTTAGAAACAGATATAGTTAACAAAGATATTTAGCCATCGAATAAGTTACAACTACATACTTTTATTTTTATTAACGCAAGGCATGTGGAACAGGCGCGATATACACTTTAATCTGTAGTGTTGTGTGCGTGCGCGTGTGCGTGTGTGCGTGCGCGTGTCCGTACGCGAGCGCACGTGCCTCATTGGGGCGTGTTCACGAGTGCGTCCACGGCCACTTGTGTGTGACTTTGCCGCTGCGCCCCCCAGCGTCGCTGTACTACCCGGTGCGCGGCTTCTTCGGCGGCGAGCGGCGGCCCGCCAGGGGGCGCGGCCGGGGCCGGGGCCAGCGGCCGCGGATGCCCTACTTCGACGGGCCCGACGCCAGCCGCCAGTACTACCAGTGAGAGCGGCGCTCGAGCTACCTCGACCTTTTGTACCTTTCACCTTGCCGCCGTCTCCATAAACAAAACCCCGACAAGCCCTGAAGGAACTGGGCCACATGGAATGGGCGGGCTCGTTACTTGGAGCAGTTCTCAAGCCAGTTACTTGGAGGCCGTCAAGAGAGTCCATTCCTACCTTGAAAGCATGCTTTTCCAACCTTTCGGCTTGGCACCGTTCACAAATAACCCCGACTCGCTCTGGAGGCACTGTGCAACGCAGCAGACTCTATTGTTGCACGAATGGGCGGGCTCTTCTGGGGAGTCTCGCGAGTTACTTGGAGACCGTCAGGAGGGCCCAATCCTACCTTGAGAGCCTGCTTTTCTAACGTTTCGGCTTGGCACCGTCTCCATAAAAAGTACTCACCCGCCCTGAAGGAACTGTGCCATGCAGCAGATTCTATTGTTGTACGAATGTGATGTCTCGCAGAAGAACGGCGTGAAGTGGAAAAAAAGATGCACTAACGACATACGTATTATACAAATTTAAAGAGTAACGACTTTCGAGATGCCAATTACACGTGCACACATAATGCAGCGCTAGTTAAAATAATCTGAGTTAACAAATAGTAAGCAATTATTATATTGCTTGACAGTGTTCTTTCGTTATTTTCTAAGATCTTCTTATGTTGTATAAAGTGAACTATTTTATGCTACAATGTGGTATACGAGCTTTAAGAAGCTTGTAGGCCCCTATTGACGCAGTCATCAGATAAAACGCAAAAGTATAAGTTCCGTTTCGCACTATCCGGCCTGACTATTGATGCTGGTGTACACCAGTTTCGTTGACAAATGAATCTCTTTTATGATATAGATATCTTTTAAAAATATATTAAGCCATAACTTTCAAAAGGTTGTTTCTGCAACCCTCGGGTGTAGCAGATGTCCATGAGCGGCGGTATTCACTTAACATCAGGTGAACCGTCTGATCGTATGGCAAATCGATATCATTGATGTCGACATCGATTTACGCTCAGTTAACGCCCGATTTGGTTGATAACGTTAAGAGGCGTTAAGTACCAAACCACTGTATTACACTCCAAACAAAAGAATCCTTTAGGTAATATCATTTAAAAAGAATTCTTCTAATTCTTTGACGTCTACGGACCCCCTTCCCGCGCGCGGCACATACGAGTGCTCGGCCGTCGCACGCTAGCCGCGGCAGTGCGTAATTCCCTCTCACTTCCCGGCGGAAGTGTACAATTACCGCGCGGAATTTCCCCGGTTCCGCGCTCCTACCGCGGAATTTGACGATTTCCGCGCCCCACGGTCCCGTCCTCCGCCGCAGGTACTTCAAGAAGCTCACGGCGGAGTCGCGCGGCCACAGCGACCACTCCCGCCGGCGCTCTTACTCGCGCTCGCGCTCGAATTCGCGCTCGAATTCGCGTTCGCGCTCGCGCTCGCGCCGGCGCTCGTACAGCCGCTCGCGCTCGAGAAGCAGACGCTCGAGAAGCCGCCGCTCCAGAAGCAGGAGCTCCCGAAGCAGAAGATCAAAGTAAAGTATTCTTCCGGCGCCGAACCTGTGCCGTTGTGTCGGCTTATTACGATTCCTAGGCCGACTCTTTAGCGTAATAACTAGTCATCATCATCATTCTTCTGCCCCTGTCCACATCTATACGTATACCTTTCTCTTGAATCTCTCTATCTATTGCTGAAAACTGCATTTAAATTTAGTTGCGTATTTTAAAATATGTTAGCGGACAATCATATGTAACAAATATTAATAAAGTTATTTTAAAAGATGCTACGCCGCTAATAACCCCAGGTCCTCCCACGGCCGGTCCCGGTCGCGGTCGCGTCGGCGCTCGAGACCGCGCGGCCGCCGCTCGCGGACCAAGACCCGGTCTCGGACCAAGACCCGGTCTCCGACCAAGACCCGGTCTCGGTCCAAGTCGCGCCCGAAGACCGACCGCTCGGCCGAAGACCGGCCAGCGACGCCAAAGGAAGTGCGCCGCTCCAAAAGCTGGTCTATGCCCCCCGAAGGCGGACCGCGCGAATCCTGGTCCAAGAGCCCCAAGGAAGCCCAACAATAGACAAGTTTTCTGTACTCGCGTAATAAATGTTTATATTTGTGTACGTTTTTATTCCTGCCCTCGGAGGCGGATTATCCTTAAGGCAAACTAGGCGTGCGGGCGGAGTTGTGAAATAAAGAAAAAATATATAATATAGCATAAAATTAACTGCGCCAGTAATTAAGCCACCTACTTACACAATAAAAACTATTATTTTGTTTAGAACCTCAATTTGCTTCAATTTATAACAAAATATAAACTTAACGGATGGGACTGACAAAAACTTGCGCCTTTAAAATCTTATCTCTGATTGAAGTAGGAAAGATACGTCAAATAGATCGCGACTTGCGATATCGGAATCTGACGTCTCTGTTTCTAAAATTGCGGCGACGAGGGTGCGCTGCGGGGGCGGAAACTAAGCGGTCAGGCGCAAACAAATGAGTGGAGAGTGACACGACGTTCAACTTGTTGTGTTTTGTCTTTTTTTTTGTATAACGCACGCTTTATTTTTGTATAACTTATGTTATGCTTTCAGTCCTTAGACTACTAAAGCTGAATCGAACGCAGCACCGGTGGGCTAGCCAGAACCTACGGGTTTGAGGTTTCCTCAGAGGCTACGGTCTCCTTCTGCCCTGGGTCCCGACGGCATCCCGGGTTGAGCATGGGCACTGGCCTTGGAGGACGTTGTTTATCGCCTGTCTGACTCAAGCCATTATCCCACACAGGCGGAAGATAGGCAGACTTGTCCTCATCCGGAAGGAAGGACGTCAAGCGGACTCCCTGTCTGCCTGTCGGCCAATCGTGCTTCTCGACGATGTGGGCAAACTCTTCGAAAGAGTGATCGCATAGTCGATCATTTGGAGTACATCGGCCCGAACCTAGCAGACAGACAGATTGGGTTTCGCAGGGGTCGGTCAACCACCCACGCGGTGCTGCGAGCGAGGTCCCTCCCACAGGAGGTGGTTTTCCAGGTTAAGGTCATTTTGGCAGTGTCTCTCAACATCGCTAACGCCTTCAACACCTTGCCCTGGGTTTGCATAAAGAAGGCGCTCCGGTACCGTGGAGTGTCTCTCTACCTGCGCCGTCGTATGGTGTACCCGTGTCGAGACTGCCACCGGACAACAGAGGTGACGTGTGGAGTTCCACAGGGGTCGGTGCTAGGACCACTCTTGTGGAACGTATGGTATGATTGGGTGCTACGTGGCGCCTACCTCAAGGGTGTCGAGATATCATGTTACGCTGACGACACCCTTGTCACCGCCCGTGGCACCAATTTTCGCTGGGCCGCTCTTCTTGCCCGCCGCCGGAGACCAAGGCGCAGGAGGCCTACGCGCGCAACCTTCCCCTGATAGCAAGCCCCGGGGCGGCAGATGCGGGACTAACTGCTGCCCCGCGGAGGGCTTGAGAGGGGTGCCGTGTTCATTGCACCGACACGGCACCATTTGGCTGGACCGGGTGTCCCTAACACCCGGGGAGAGGAGGCCTGAGAAGGCCACAGTCGCGCCGGGGTTCGCGGAAGATTGCGTTCTCGTGTTCCCGTGTCCCCGGCAAAGCGATAGCGCAGGTGCAACTTGAGGTTTTTAGTGGGTACCCCGTAACTCCACATACCCCTGCTGCCTACCCACAAGGCGGCGTAGGATCCATAAAGGATTTTTTCCACTTAAAAAGAGTGGCTACGGCCTCCTCATGCGTGCGTTAATTATGGCATGTCCCCTACGGGCCGTACGATGGGTCCCATTTAGTTAAGTCCCCTTCTTCGACTGGGTCGATGAGGACGTTGCGAGGGCGACGCTTTTTGACTATGATGTTCAGCTCTGTTGAAAAGCCATTTGGTGAGATCTTTAAAATGTTCGCGAATCGGCGGGAGTCTGTAGCCACTGTGCAGGTCGACGTTGCGATGATACCACTGCGCACCGGTTTCGCGGCGGATCAACTTATATGTACTATTTGCAACTTGTAAAAGCGGTGGGCGTAGGTCATGCACCCGTAGATATAATAGGTCTTACGCAGGCCTTATATTATAATAAATTTGTGCTTTAAGGGCATTTTACTTCAAGCATTGTTTAGGTGATAGAGTATGCCGGAGATGAAACGCGGCTCTGTTTCTAATATCGTTAATATGCGATGTGAACGTTTTGCGTGAGTCGAAAGTGACTCCTAGATATATATATTTTCTTTTCTCCCAAGGGAGTGGTTGGCCGTAAAAAGATATTAGTCCTAGTTTTCTGCATTGGCGAGGGCCTTTACAAAGGTGTGACGGGTAAGTACTTCGTGTGAAGTGAATTGTCACACTGTTGTCGGGATTTACCTCTATTCTCCACTTGCGGAACCTATCGCTGAGGCGATCGGCGGCGCTTTTTATCTGTGTAAAAGAGCGCCGTGTCATTCACGAAAATGACGTGCGGGTCTTTTTGTATGTCTCTCGTGCAGAGTGTAAAAAGCAAAGGGGAGAGTCAGAAGCCGCGAGGAACGACCGTTGTGAGAGGGCAGTTCGTAGAGAGGGTGCTCTCTACTCGATATCAAAAGGAGCGATTCAACTGGAAGGCCCGGATGATGTGCGCGAGTCTGTCTGGCACGTTGAGTGCGAACAGCTTGTAAAGCAAGCCGTTGTGCCAGATCTTAGGTGTTTGGGGTGATTAAGGCTTTTCAGAATGTGTTCCGTCAGGCAGTATAATTGGTCGGTAGAGTGTCTAGTTCGAAGGCCGATTTGTTCAACTGTAATAAGTGCGTTTGAAAATACCTACTCTTTGAGTCTATTTAATACGAGCCACGCGTAGAGCTTCCCCAAGCAATTGAGGAGGCTGATAGGTCGATAACTAGATGGCTTATTAGCGGGTTTAAATAAAATTCACGTTGCTACAACAGAAAGTTTGATGCGAGAGAATTTTACTCCTCTTTTAGGTTTTTAGAAATAACTAGTTCCTTCAAATATGTTGGATTTGCAAATTTTACACGATATGACATGACAAGTTTCTTTAATTATAATTTGAAAAAACAACAAAAAAATCTTTGTGACTAAGGTACCTGGGTAGAATATGGCCACCTTAAGGTTTGATACACAGTTTTTCATATTTTCTAAGATTTTTAAACAGTCTTTTGCACATTATATTAATACTTATATATCTAGTTTTTATGTCGTAAGCAAAAATCTGGCAAATGTATTAAAAATTAAAAGTTATGTTCTCTTTTTTTTTTAAAAAGTAAAAAGGGCCATATCATTTTCACCGATGTAGGTTAATATGGACATTAACATGGCCATATTTTCACTATTGCTATTTTAGCGGTCGAATATGGCCATTTTTGTACTTTCTATAAAAATGGCCATATTTACTAATAATGTGTGTCAGTTAAACCTATAGGTTTAGCTGACACACTATGCCTTTATTTGGATTTCTTGATACGGAAACAATGAAAAAAATTTTATTATTTTTTTCTTAATAATTTTTTTATTCATAATAATGGTAATGGGACATTCTGAGGTCAAGACTAGAATATAGAATGTCACTTACAGTAAGAAATGACATAATAATGTAACAAAAAACGTTCAAGTTTTCACGAAAAAGATGCTGCGCATTAAATCAAATAAAAACGTTATTATTAAATTAGGAGTTTTGTGTAAATTTAATTGACAACCTTTTTCATCGATATTATAAATTCGTTCTGGTTTCTTCATTAAATCATATTTTTCCATTAAATCCTTTAATTTCGCAAAATAATCAGATACCACTGGCTTATTAAGCTTTTGAGCTCTGGCAGGATTTCAATTTTTGGCTTTACGTCGACTGATATTAGGGTAGCGTCTTAAAAATCCCCCTAACCAATCTCATTTAATCATTATTCCTTGACTTTTTGCTAAAATGTTGTTTTCGTTACAGAACGTTTTAACACATGAACGTTAAACACGCTGTGTTAGTGGGTAACCATCGCTGCAAAGTCGGGATTTCAAATCATTTTCTTGATCCGAATTTAACAATGGTTTTCTATTTTACTTTGCCAAATATCGTCTCAAAGTCCGCCTTGGTACATTAAATCTCTTTGCAGCTCTCTATGTTCACTCTCATAACCCCTCTCTTTACAGCAGCATAGCTAACTTCATATCATCTTCCACCCAATTACCGCGAATACCTTTGCGTTTGTATCGCATCACCTGAAGCAGAAATAAGCGGGTAAGCAAAGATAAGCTTCTTTAATAATTATCAGTGGATAAAAATCCATACAGGAAATATGGCCAGTCAGTGGCCATATTTTCAGTCACGCCACTCGTTGTCTTTCCATTATGAAAAATGAAGGGTTAATTTGAACTTGCCTACCGGCAATTAATTAGCCAGGTGTCATACGAAACTGAATTATAACAAACGCGTTATCAGTTGATTAAAACACTTAATTAGGTACAACTTTATCTATTAATCACTTTAGTGTCAAGATTAATTCGTACAGATATACTTTATCAATTGATAAATATCTAATTAGTATAAAATAATTAATATGTTCAGTTATTAGCGGTTCATATTTCGATCAGTCATGAAGGTACTCGGTCTTTGTGTTTTGGTATTTGCTGCCACGGTCCAGGTGAGAATGCATATATTTCAATAAATGAAAAATAACCTTTATCATTCATTGTTCTTAATCATCAGCTAACGCCACTTCAATAAAATTCAGAATGATGACGTTAATAAAACCCTGTTATAAAGTGATAAGAAGATATAAATTATAAGAACATCTTTATTATCTTACATTATCTTCACATCTTATATAATCACAGAAGTCGGAACGTTCCTTTGATTTTTGGCGGTTATTCCTGTATTCGGTTTCCGTAGCAAATTTGGTGGTTGTGGGCCGCTTTTCCTTGCGTTCCATAGTTAAGAATAATTTAACTTAAATTATCAAATTAATGGGGACTGTATGTACGCTTGTCTATTGTTAGACAATGAATTGTCAGCTGAATTTTTTTTATGTGAAAGGTTAAATATCTGATGTTAAGTGAATACCACCGCCCACGGACAATTTAAACACCTGATGATTGACAACTGTTAAAAAGGTCAGCAGACGAAACGCGACAGTTAAAAACTTCCCCTTTACGCCGGTTTTCTGTGAGGCCGTGGTGACTACATCAGTTAAGGCCCATTTACACGATGCCATTTTCTTGAACATACAAGAGCAATAATTGAATGCAATAATTTGCGCGCAATAATTGTTTAGACCATTTGTTGTTTAGACCATGCAACTCATTTATTGCTTCGATTTAATTGTATACAACAGGCAAGAAACTGGCACCATGTAAATGGGCCTTTATACTATTTATTGTAATCGACAGGCGGTTTATATCTCGCCGCGGCAAATCACGTGAATTCAATAGAAGCGTAACGTGCGATATAGATTATGGTCGTAGACGAGGCCTGTACAATGACTTTTAATGTAGGACATTAAAAGTCATTGTACCGGCAGAATACCCAGTATCTATCTACTTTATTTTTTTTTTTATTTACATAAATTTTGGTTGGTTATTTTGTTGTAGTTTTGGGCTTTGGCACGTAATGTACAAAGATAAATTTCTACGTGTTACCTTAATGGGAAAGATAGAGGTTTACATTTAGATTTGAAATTTCAAACGTGTCTGGTCAATATCTCTAATTCTTTTATGTATATCCTATATGTTATCAACATGTACAGTTATTACAACTTAAAAGTTAGGTTATTTCACAGCCGACAAAAAGTGTGGGAACCAAAAGGATTTAAATTTTACTTTCTCGATCGCCAATTACGAAACGAGAACGATACTAGTCACGTTTCTATCATTCGACTTGATTGTTGCATAATGCAAGATTATAAAATTAAATAATATTATAAAGGCGAAAGTTTGTATGTATGGATGGATGTTTGTTACTCTTTCACGCAAATACTACTGAATGGATTTTAATGAAGCTTTACAATAATATAGCTTATACATCAAAATAAGAAATAGGCTTATAAGAGTTCTAAAGTTTTTACCTTGATCCTAATATTTTAACTATTAGTGAACTTGAATATTAACAACTATTAACGACAAGCAGCACTAGTGGTTATATCACCGTCCGGGAACGCGGCCGAAATCCAAGTGACCACTGCTCCATGCGACCATGTGTCCCTTGGCTCGAGTAGATAACGTCATATCCGGTATACAGTGTTGCCAGCGCCAACATTCGGCCGGGCATCTGGCCTTCATCTTCGAATGGCGTTGTAGTCTGGTACAAGTAACCTTCATAAAATTAACACCTTAATCCCTCAACTTAACACCAAAACACTTACCCTGTGGCTTCCCTCTCATCCCTCAAAACACTGGGAATCCCTCACAACTGGGATGCATATCGCCACGTTCAAAAACTGGACTTACCCTATGGGCTTATCCCTCTCAACTGGGATGCATATCGCCACGTTCAAAACACACTTACCCTGTGGCTTATCCCCCTCACAAACTGGGATGCATATTGCTACGTTTATCAGAACACGTTCAGACCACCTTACCCTGTGGCTTATCCCTCACAACTGGGATGCATATTGCTACGTTCAGAACACCTTGCTTATCCCTCACAACTGGGATGCCTGTGGCTTATCCCTCACAACTGGGATGCATATGGGAACACCTGCATATCGCTACGTCAGAACACCTTACCCTGTGGCTTATCCCTCACAACTGGGATGCACATCGCCACGTTCAGAACACCTTACTCTGTGGCTTATCCCTCAAAACTGGGATGCATATCGCCACGTTCAGAATATCTTACCCTGTGGCTTATCCCTCACAACTGGGATGCATATCGCTACGTTCAGAACACATTACCCTGTGGCTTATCCCTCACAACTGGGATGCATATCGCCACGTTCAGAACACCTTACCCTGTGGCTTACCCTGGGATGGTTCTTATCCTTATCCCTCACAACTGGGATGCATATCGTCACGTTCAGAACACCTTACCCTGTGGCTTATCCCTCACAACTGGCATGCATATCGCCACGTTCAGAACACCTTGCCCTGTGGCTTATCCTTCACAACTGGAATGCATATCACTACGTTCAGAACACCTTACCCTATGGCTTATCCCTCACAACTGGGATGCACATCGCCACGTTCACAGTTTTCAGTGATTTATCAAACTTAGGTGGCTTTACCGGATACACCAGTCGTGTATCTCTACGTTGTCTAAGTACCAGTGATGGTGTTCACAATGGATATCCATCACAACTTCATGCCTTAAATCTTCCAACTACTAAAATGCTCAGTAGCTTAACCGGGTAAACCAGTTGTGTATCGCTATTTTACATTTTCTCAAATATGATAAGTAATTAATTAACTGGAAGGTACTCACAAAAAGTTTCGTTACATTTAACCAAAAGATTTTATCATCATTACGTATATTAAGTATAAAACACATTGTTTTATTTTACAAGGGTAGGTACACAAGGAGAACATATGTCGCGGATTGTTTGAACAGCCAAATGCGAGTTTTCGTATTGAATCCCACTTCTGATATTAGAGTTCTAAAGTTTTTACCTTGATCCTAATATTTTAACTATTAGTGAACTTGAATATTAACAACTATTAACGACAAGCACCACTAGCGGTTATATCACCGTCCGGGAACGTGGCCGAAATCCAAGTTACCACTGCTCCATGCGACCATGTGTCCCTTGGCTCGAGTAGATAACGTCATATCCGCTATACAGTGTTGCCAGTGCCAACAGGCTATGTTTTATGTATATCCGTATGTATATGTTACGCCTTCAGCCTATTCTACGCAGACGTAGTCGCGGGCAGCAACTAGTAGATATATCCATAACGAATGGATTAGTCAATATAACCTAATATGGCATATAAAAAGGATAATAACGATGAAATATATGTTAATTATAAGTCACGTGCACTTGTTTTATTATAAAGTGGGTACGGTTTAGGCATTATGTAGCAATAACCATAGTTACATTAATAAATTTAATGTTTTAAAATGTGTATTTATTAGGAACTTTTCTTACTAGTAGATTAAAAGGCAGGAAGGGCAGTTCTTCCCGCTTATTAAACATTTTATTGAACGAGATTATTTGAATGGTCCCTACAATAGATATATATACGATCAAATGATAGAAAGGCCTTATAAATCCTTTTGGCTCCTGTCCACTATTGCAATGATAAAGAAGAGAAGGTTCTCTTCTTTATCATTGCAATAGGAGTAGGTACTCCAACACTTCGACCAGCACAGTATTATGGAGCAACTATGTGAAACGAAAGTACTTGGATTCTGTTGAGCTATCTTGTTATTAATGTGATCTACGTGTTACATAGTACCGTGTGGTCGTATCTCACGAGACGCGTCACATCTGAAGTTTAATCGTCCCCCTAATCTCGAACACGTCCGACAAAGCGAGGTTTAAGTTACCCGCTAATTTCGCCTCAGCCGAGTATCCCTAGCGAAAGCTAACAGCCTTCGCTAATCCTCTTTCTATTAAAGTACGGTTGTACTTTGTTATAAGTGTCTTAATTATAATACGTAACGAAAACGTTTGCATTTTATAGTATAACGTTATGTTTATTGAGTGAATAGTTATGAATAGTAAGCTCATGACATGTTGGTTTATTTTTAGGATAAAACATAGATTATTTAGTAGTCTCTTTTTTATGTTTGACCTCTGTTGGAGGAATCCTATGTTAAATAAAATGACTGATGACTTGAGAACAGATCATGTTTTGTCTCTTGACCAGAAACGCTGCGTTTTGTTTGAAATCTCGGGAACAGAAAAAGAAAAAAAAAATTATATATAATATAGAATAAAAAAAATTTATATATTTAACAATATGACAAAGTGTAGTAGTTTTGATGTTTAATTTTGGAGACATTACATAGAATGGAATTTGAGATAATTAAACTCTTACTTCGCTCAATTGTCACAGTTCAATTATACCAAAGCGACAGCTGGTACAAATAAACTTTGACAACAATAATATTAAACTTTGAGACAATTAGAGTATCGCCATTTGTAGGGAATTGAGATAACTCTGCTTTTACGATATTCAAATATCCCCAGAGTTTAATTGTACTCAATTGGCACCTACAAATAAACTTCGACTTACTATAACTTTAAACTTTGGAACAATTATCGGTAGGTGAGTGTTAGCGTATATATAATTTGAGCATTTATGAATTGTCATGTATATGAGAAATAAATTAAAACTGTTGTTGTTCAGAGCACAGGAAATATTATGTTATCAAAGTTTTTTTATCATTTTAATTTGCGCCATTTGTAACTTTTACGCTGATAAAAATAACAATCAGAGTTTTGCTAATTTACTGTCGCGTTGCGATTGATTAATTGTGTTTTTGTAATGAAATGAAATATCTGACAGCGTCGTGAAATATCTAATCTAATACCTAACTTATAATTCTTTATGTTTAGAATATTGATTGCTACCTACGTGTACTTAAATAGAGTTTTAATCGTAATCGCAATCGTTCTTTAGTTCCACTATTATTAATTGGGTACTTTATTGGTTCAATAATACCTAGCCGAACGCTCCAGAAAAAATCAATTACGTTTCTCGAGTATAAATGTATGTATTTTTAAAAACATAATAATAATTTATTTCCAAACACACTGGTAATAAAATCCAGTTATTGGTTTAGCTAAAACTATGTATTTATTTGGTATACTCGGTAGGTTAACGGCATTTTAGTTATTCGGTTCCACACGGTGACTTATAGACTTATAGTGGTCAGTTAGACTTGTCGTATTTGTAATGTATTAAAGATTTTTTGGGATTACAGACACAACGAGTTGTTGTTTTGATTTTAACAATTGAAATGTCTTTTTAATTCTTAGCTTTGTTTATTAAAATTAAATATATTTATATAATATATATATATTATTATATGCCCAGTCAATTAGTCAACTATTTTATACTAAATGTGATTGAATCGTAAAACGACAGTTTACGAAATGCGAATAAATATAATAGTTACATTTTATTCATAATTTCTGTTTTAGGCTAGAAGCGCTGGAGTCCAAGGTGAGTAAAAACAATTAATTGTACGAGGCGTTTTTCTGTTATTTTTTTTCTGTTAATTTTATGTTTTAAAAAAAACTTACTACGAGTAATATTTTTAAACGGTACATGATAGGTCATTGTTTGGACGCTCGCTTGTTATTCCATATACACGAACAACCTGAGTTCGATCCCCGGTGACGGCACCAATGTTGTTAATTTTAAGTGCTAATTTTAATCACGTGCTCAGCGGTGAAGGAAAACATCGTGATGAAAGAGGCCTTTGCCCAGCAGTAGAACATGTATTTTTTTTATGTGAAAAGTTGCCAAGCGAGCAGACGGTTGACCTGATGTTAAGTGAATACCGCCGCCCATGGACATCTGCTACTACCTCACTCACCAGACGAAACGCGAAAGTAATTTACTTGGTCTTCTGTGACGTCGTGGTACTTACCCGGACGAGCCTGCTCATTCGTGCAACAGCCGAGGCTTCTGCGTGGCCCTACCACCGTCTATAATTTATATGCTGTTCTTTACTTTTTTTACGTTTACATGAAATTTTTCTTTTAATTTTATTACGCATATTCGAGATATCTTATGAATAGTGAATTATTATATAGATAGCGTCAAAAATAACGCAATAATTACACTACTCAATATACTTATGTATATTATATTTTAGTTTCTTTGACGTAGATTAAATATGTATTCATATTTAAAACGGACTGGCGGAACGTTTTTGGCGTTTTCGTTAACGAGTTTTAGTGAAAAGGATGACGTTTAAAATAGATGTTGCGCCAGTGTCCGCGACGGCGCCTAGCCCCTGGGTGGTGCACCTGCGCATCGCTGTGGACAACAGGGGTGGACTCCTCAACTCCTGCGTAGGATCCCTCATCGACAGGCGCTGGGTGCTGACGGCAGCGAGCTGCGTCTCTAAGTAAGCCACTTTATTTATTAAGTAAACGCGTGTGAATAGATTGCATGAAAGTTGTTCGTGTTTACCGTCTATGGATATCTATGACACTTGAGGAGTTGACCTTTCAAAACTTGGCATCACCTCACTCACCATGACAATCAACAGTAGTTCCACTTCTCATTGTTCGTCTGTGAGGCCGTGGCTACTTCTGAGGCCGTTTTGTGCAATACTGAAAGCTGTTGTTGGCCCTACCCATTTGCAATACGTAACGTTATGTACTGATGAATAATGTCAACACAGTTCTCTTCAGTTCTCTGTATACCGTCACTTACACTTTTCTCTCAACCTTGTGTTATGGCAAGAAATGTATTTTTGTTTTGTTAACTACTCCAATCTAAGTAGCGATGCGACGTCAGAACAGACAGAGAGACTTGACTTATCGAACATTGAAAAGACTGCGCCAAGGAATAGATCTATGAAAGCATTTCTTTCGCCAGTGGCCGCTTCTTCTGGCTCCGCTACGCCGCTGCCAACGTCATTAACCCTACCCTGGTGACGGAGACTTCGGCAACGCGCTCCAACGGTGATCTGGCGTTGATCTCAATCAACCGCAACGTCGAATACACCGGTGAGTAGTCGCTTGACCTATTTATTATACAATCTTAATTTCGACTATAAATTATTCGATCTTCATTTCACTCTTTTGTCTCTGCTAGCTTGCTACCAATATATTTCCAAGGTAGGTAATGTTTATGAATATGTCCAGCTTTACAAGCTTTACTTTATTTCAATTTAAATGAATAATAAAAAGCGGACTAATTTAATATAAGAAAATAGCAAATAGGGTTATTCCATAACCCCCCCCCATACATTGATTCATATGACACAAAATATTTTCAACCTTTAAGTAAAATTACGTAAGATTTATGAACAGCAGTGACGTCGCAATAATGGTATAATAATTGTGCTTTAAAGCAATTAAATCTCAAGAAAGATTGATCAGGTCAAAAACAATACAAAACACATTAATTTAGGATTGGTTTTGACTTTTTAATTAGTTTTTTTTTGATTTTTAATAAATTTTTAAGTGAATCGTTCAATTACGACGCGCGTATTTCAATCAAGCGTATTCGTTGACATGATTTGAAAGTGCTTTTTCAAGAGATTGAAATAAAATGTGCTCAATTTCGTAGAGAGAATAAATCGTCATGGACTTAATGTTAACACGTTGGAACTTCGTCAAAAATGTTTTGATATTATGCAATTATTTTTTATACTGTAGTATTTTATACGATTAAATAAAATTGTGTTAAAATTAAAGTATTATAAAGACAAATGACACGCTACAGTTCTTGTGATTAAATTGGCTCGTTGTGTGTTGTTGCATTGAGGAATGAACATTCTGTAAATAATCCGGATATTTTCCAGACACAATCAGCGGCATCGCATTGGCTGGTCTCGATGACGAGCTCCCGGAAAGCGGTACGCTCTGCGCCTATGGAGCTGGCGAGGGAGGCGGTAAGTGTGCTATATATTTATTTATCACCAACAAAGTACACACCGTAACAGAATAAAAAAACATGGTTTGCAACAAAGTTACGAGTGGTACCTTAATTATAGGTAAAAACTACTTTTTGCCAGACAGTAGTATAGTATCTAGTACTGCAGTTAACTGATATCTACAAATTTCGTGCGAAACAGTCTTCGCTGTTGCACGAATGGGCAGGTCCGGGAACTACCACGGCCACTTGAAGACTGGTGTGAAGTGGAAGAGTACTTCTGTGTCTCTCAATTTATTAAAGTGGCAACGCATCGGCAACCCTACGGGTGTTGCAAATATCCATGGTCGGCGGATATCACTTAACATCAGGTGAACTGTCATCTTGTTAGCGATTTGAATTTATTATTTTTTTTGCATAAAAAGATCTTTCTGATGGGAGAGACCGAGAAAGGATCCATGCACTGTGCGAAGAATAATAAGTCTGTGAGTATTGAAATGTTGTGCCGACCCTACCTATCGTGGAGTAGGGGCAGGAGAAAGAGTAGAAGACGTCTAATGCGAACTACTGTCGGTCGAAGACCGCTAATTAAAGAAAAATCTCATATGACAAAATAGCAAACCTCATTGCTTCTAAACTTCTTGGATAATAAGAAGAAAATTTATATCTTTTACTTGCAGTCGCTGGGGAGGTGCAGACCTGCTCTGAATGGACTTTGCAGGACCTGGGCAATGGCCGCTTCGAGGGTGTGAGCGAGGAAGGTCAGGCCACCGAGGTAAGTTGTAACACTTATGCTTCTGTTGACGGTACACGCAGCCGCAATAATGAGCGGCAATAAAAATGTGAATCACTTTATTTCAGACCATAGATATAATAATTTAAATTGTCTACAAGTAAAATGAAATGAAAAGAAAATCTAAAATAAGTTGTTGAAAACTAAAATCAATATATATTTTTAATCGAAGTGTTATCTAAATTAGATGTTCAAGACGTGGACATTTTCCCAGTGCCTTATAATTGGACTGTCCCATTTGTATGCTAAATCGTTCAGAATGTTTCCGGGGCTAATTCCTAGCGAGAAATCGAAGAAGATTTGGAATGATGGCATAAAAGAAATCAGTCGGGCCTCTGCGAATGCATTTGTAGTACTACAATGTTTAGGCAATCCTAAAAGAGTCTTAAAAGCGTTATAGTCCTATCCTTGTATACATTGAAGGATTTCAGTGTCAAAAAATATCTATTCAGTTGTCTTGAACGCATCGACTTATATGGAAAGACAATCATCGATAAACTCATAGATTTTACAATAAAGATGGCATAAAATAAAAGTTAACGGGTTAAGGAAGACTGTACCTACTATCGCGTAGTATCACAGACTAAATGATTAATCATTAAATGCTTATGAGTAGCCAGTTCGTCGTAAAATGCGCTATCATTCTCCACGTGTCTTTGAACGTTTCAGTTCGACGTCGGCGCACCTTTGGTTTCCAACGGTGTGCAAATCGGAGTGCTCTTACGCCCGGCTGCAAATGGCTCTAATGCTGGTAAATATAAACACGCCTTAAATTATCCTATGACCTTGTAATTGAATAGTGTTTAGAGTTCATTTCTAGAAAATATAGGTGCTCAGTTGGACGTGGATAAGCATTTGCACAACTGGTATTGAATGTCATTTATAACTATGCATTGGATATATTTATGTATTCCGTGCGTGACTTTACCTGTCCTGGTTACCAAAGTATGCAAACCCTCCAAACTCTCCATGGTTACTTCGAGTGACGAAACGTGATTCGTTTACCCCATTACTTACTTCTAGAAAAAAAGTGTGGGTTTGAAATGATAACCCAACAACAAAACCAGAGGATGGTTAATGTTATTATAAGGTTATTTAATTTATTTTATTATGTTTGTGGTTTATATAGTTAAATAACCACATTTCTTCCTCAGTATTCGTGAGCCCGGCCAGCTTCAAGGATTGGATCGAAAGCGAAATTGCCGCTTAGAAGAGGCTAAACAAAGCTCCTTTGATATTGAACATGCGTTTCTAAAGCTTCTTAGATCCATTTGTCGATTTAATAAATTATAACGTACAGTAAATCGTGTTTTATTTGTGTACTATTGGTGGAAAAGTACGAGTATGATAGGCGAGTTTTGATTTATTATCTCAACTACCGTGTTTCGACCTTTCAATATAGATATGAATATTAAAAAGGTGTCACGACCCCGATGAGATTAAAGGTACGCAGAGGTCATTATCCTGCGGTTGACAGCTAAGGTTTAACGATGTGTAATGATGAATGACTTGCCCAGCGTAGCTGTATTAATCGTCTTTCTGGATATACTGACACAAAACGTCAAATTTATCATTCAATATAATGCCCTTAGTAATACTAGGCTGATTTATAATTCAAAGTATAAATCAATTTTCAAAAACTAAATATTTAATTAATATTGATTTATTGGTTAATTGGATACAGGTCTAAAAAAATTTAAACTATCAAAAACAAAATATTTAACATAACAATACTTATAGTAATAAACATTTGGGCATAATTAAATTTAATTATTTAAATGATATTAAATTAATTTAAGTAATAAATAGGTAAAATAGATATAATAAGTGAATAAAGTAAACACATCGGTCGGTTTGAAAGTTGAGATTGTAGAAAAACGCGTCTTTTATACAGTTCTCATCCGGTAATGGACAATACTACAATAATTTCTCTCATAACGAAAAGGAAGGTTTTGTGGAAGGATGTGTTGTGAATCAAACTCGGTAAGTCGTATAACACTGGGCCGGGACTACTTAATTGTAAGCGACCTAATAACATCCGCAGTTGATATCCAGAAAGGCCGACGAGCGTCGAGATTTCCGAGAGCAGCCCATTCCAAATACTCTGTACACCCCATCCATTCGAGTTACGCACTGACATATTTTGCGAAGGAATTGCTCCACGTTCTGGGGAATGATTTCGAGAATGCTCTGCAGTTGGAACAGTTAAAAAGGTTAGGTTATTGCGACGCAGTAGTCTTAACTCCGCGCTGACCCTTTTACGAGACGCGATTGGGTAAAGTTACGGGTGTCTGCGAGTCCGCCAGAGGGCGCCCGGGGGCCACTCTCGGATGGAGGGATTTCGCCCTAAAGGCCGTTTCTCAGCTCCATACTTGAGCGGGCGGCGTTATTCCAAATTGTTGGAATTGGAACGGGACGGTAATGTTTTCCCGCGCTTTATTGTGTACTACAATTGAACTTGCACCCGCGCACTTAATTCTGTTTTGCGTCCTACGTATATCACTACGGTTTTAAGACAACGCTGCCCATAAAGTACAATGGAAAGAGAATGCGTTCGGAATTTCAATTTGCATCTGACGGAACAGTTTAGATTGATATTTCAAATTAACTACCTGCGCTTAGTTGCAAGTTGAGTAGAGCTAGACAGAACGCAATGCAAGAATAACTTTTAAAAATCAAGAGTTTTGATGTAATAAAATAAAAAATAGAGTAATTGACAACCTGCTCCACTTTTTAAGTCGGATATAATAAGGGTATATAATAATGGTGATCATTCCTACTTTATTAAAAAAAAATAATCACGAAAACGCTATGCCAAAATGATTAGTATTAATTATCATAATAGTTAGTTTCACATGTGTTTTGTTTCTCAAAGTTTAAAAAAATTTGCTTAAGTGACTCCCATTTCCTCTACTAGTCTCCAAAAAAGTTGAACTCTCGCTCATACAGGGCAACCTCGTTAGATCTATATGTTATATGTATGTTCCTGATCTGGCTCGCTTCTTCTTACTGCAAGACAAATAGAAATGGCGTGTGAGCTTGAGTCGCTGCTGTCATGTCCTTATGACTAGCACGGAAGGTAAAGAATTTTAACCACGCTACCGCTAAATAGTTATGTTAAAATTTAACAAACTGCCCGGCTATTTCTACTTATACAGCGTGTCTTTACAATCGCGACAATAAATGAACACGCATATAGAGGATAAGCTTTTAGACTTGTAGTATATACATTTTTATTAATAATAATTCATTTGTTTCTCCATAACAGTCACATTGTATTTGTTTTCTTTTTTTCCGTGAAATGTAGTAGTTTCTATCGTGTTATTTTCTATTTGATTAAGTTCTAGTTAAACTGTGTATGATTTATAAAAGGTGTGTTGTAATATAACTTAACATGAAATAAATAAATAAATAAAAAATGCTACACCTGATTAATGTATTTAAGCGGAATATACTGTTCCCAATTATTGCTCACTTAACAACGGGTGAAGTCTCCACTACACTACACGTTACGCTATGAAATCTACGATGGAATGATGTAAATCTCTGTGCAATTCGGGAGGTGTCGTTAAACGTAGCGTGTATTAAGTATAATATCGAGAGGCTCTATCATGTGCCTCCATTAATTTAATGGCTTCTCTTTACGTCGCGGCTCGAGCAAATTTGCCGTGCACTCGGCGCGGCAGCGGTTTTATGATATTGAATAAATTGCTCTATTAATGCCAGGTTGTAACAATGCGTTGAATGTCGTTAGTGATGCGTGCTCCAGTACTCAAAAAAGTAAAGGCCTGTAAGCCGCGAATTCATCAGTACTCGTGTACTTTTTCAATAAATAACTGTGAAGTCGTGGTATTTCTCCAGTGGTATACCACGTTTTGGTTATGTTCCCCGGCACTATCATATACAAACATAGGCTGTTAATTTACTTACTTTATATTATAAAAGTGCCTTATTAATTACAAGAAGCGAAACCGAATTCAAATGCCTCCCTCGTTTCATATTTTCCGTTTGATTTTAACGAGTTTCCTTTTTCAACTCCGGAGTCAAAGGTCCAATTAACAATGCATTGAGAATTAAAATTCGGTTCATGTATGACGGAGTTCTCAGGTAAAAAAAATATAAAAAATACAAGCAAATTGAAAAACCCCTCCTTTTTTGAAGTCGGCTAAAAGTAAAGCCCCTTCGCCTCGACTGACTGCCTGAACGCGATAAAATCAAAAACTAATGGACGGATTTTCATACGGTTTCCTTCGTTTAGATTTAGGTGAAAAATTTCAAATCACTAAGTTTTTGTGTCAAAGGTTAAATGCGACGGTGATTTTTTGTAGATTTCGGCGAGCAAGAGAAAATCCATTAAAGCATATTATCTGCTCTGTCAGTAGTGTGAAGCCAGTGCGGGTTGCTAGTATACTTTTAAACATATTAGCGTCAGAAATAGCTTGCAACACCATTAATGGACCAAAACTAAGGGTTTCGAAATAACCGGTTTACGTTCCGAAATTAAACTCGATTTAAGTTATAAATATACTGTTTCATAATAACGTTCTCGTTCTTTCCGCATGAATGGTTAAACAGAGTTATTTGTTTTTCAAAAGAACCACACGAATAAAGCAGGGGAGGGATATAGTAAACGAAAATCAGGAAAAGATAGTAGTAGTAGTATTATCGTTATGCGCATAGAAATTGAACAAAGAAGCAAGTAAGGCGAACGAAATTTTCTTCCAGATGACTTTAAAGACACATTATCCTGTGTTCTAAGGACGCTTTTGCAAACATAAATTTCACGTGCACAAACACCCAGATGCGAAACATATATCTGTGGGTCGCTCAAATAGTTGTCCCGTGTGGGAATCGAGAACCCACGACCCCGACGCCGAAGCCAACAGGGGGTCGTGGCTTCGGGCCCAAACGGAACAACTATTGGTGTGACCCACAGATAGTTTTTTTCGCATCTAGGTGTTTTTCCACGTGAAAATGCGTTTAAACGTCCGTTCAACGTAGGATAATGTTATACTAAAGTAATTGAATTGTTTTTTTAATCAAAAAGAAAATAACTTTCATACGTTCACACACGGAATGTAGGCATATAATTTTATAAAATCTCATTATGTATTTACTAATTTGTTTTGTTCTACTTTATTTAAAGCTTTCGATTTTTTAATTTCTTTTATTTTTTCTTACAATAAGATTTTTCTTCTCCTTTGTTGTCGGCGTCCTTTTTTGATAAGTAAATGTATTTTCTTTCTTCCTTAATATCCAAATTCGGTCGTCAGGCCATCCACTAACACGTTGGATTAGCAGAAGTCGTTGCTCCCTTGCCTTATTGCGGTTAGTGGGTCGGTTCGGAATCAGGTTCTTGGAACTTGTCGATCGGCTTCTATATATTCCGCCGCATTATGTCACGTGCCACACAGCTTTGACTATTTTCACGTTAGAGTTATTTCACGTTGTTCTCAGCCAATCTATAATATATATAAGCGATGTCCACCGATAATTGACTCATCAAGATATTTCTGGAACCATAAGGCGCAGAGACTTGAAATTTGGCAGGAATATTCCTTTCGCCGAGTAGAGGGTCCGCTAATGGTATTATATACAAATATGACTCTAATGTGACGCTAGTGTAACGAAACTGAGGAACTCAAATTACGCCAATTGGTTGATTAGATTGCAATTCTATAGACTGCTATCTCTTTCCGTATCAAACGTTCTATATCATGTGTCACATTCACTTATTGTTATGTTCATACGTGAAGGAAAAACTTTGTAGCCCTTTTTACTAAAACGCGGACGGAGGCGTATGAAATTTCCCACACTTATGGTTTATGTAGAGCTAGAGAAGTAGTGCAGAATGCTAACAGTTTTTTTTAAATTATGAATAAAATGTACATAAAATCAATAAAAAAAACATTAAACACACTACCCTGCATTTAATTATGGTCGAATTTCGATCACTACTTGTTACTATTAATACTCACAATAGCATATTGATTTTCAACGGTGAAAACGGAAATTAATGTTAGTTTATCTCCGTCTACGTCTTCAAGTATTAATATATATTTTTTTAATGTGAAAAGTTGCCAAACAAGCTGACGGTTCACCTGATGGTAAGTGAATAGCGCCGCGCATGGACATCTGCTACACCCGAGGGTTACAGATGCGTTGACAACCTTTTGAAAATTGGGCTTCGGCTACCTCACTCACCAG